ACACTCAAATGCATATGTTCCAGTCATGTGTATGGTGTATCGATTGTCAACTCACAATGTCAACTCCAACACATTCCATCATGATCATGGTCACATCACACCATGCCGATGTATGTCGATCGATATCACATTGCAAATGGCTGTCATCCAATGACTGTGATGACTGCAATGCAATACCATACATGTATTGTGACTGATGCGCTGTACACCATCAGCAAGTGTGCAACTGTCACTTGATATATCGACTCTGATACACAACAACATGTTGGGTTTATCGTGATCAGGTTTTTGATCAACTTTGGACTCATGATACATGATTTGTCATGTTGAATCGTGTGGATGTGTGGATCGTATGGATCGTATGAATGTGTCATGGACTGCAATTGATGCTATACGCTGCAATTTAGTTGCAAACACATATATGTTTGACATTGACCAATGCATACTGTGCAACGACTGATCGGTGCGAATGTGATTGCACACTTGGTGGTATTGTGCATTATGGTTGTTTGACAATGGATGAATGCTGGATTAGTCGGTCATATGCAACCTGTTTGAATCGACATATTTTGATGATCACTCGATGTAACTGACAATAATGTGTTGTCAGTCATGTTGTGTCGATACTTGAGTTGAAGTGACCAATCACAGAATACTGGCTGTTTGATTGGTCAATTAGTCGAGTTTGTGCTGATATCGTACCATTGGTAACAAACACAGTTCTGGTACCGTCACCTGTACTGCCATATAGCAGTTGATTGACAAACTTGTAACACTTCCAGTATATGCTCGTACGGATATGATTTGTTTGCATGATATCAGTTTGTCTTGACACTCGAGTTTATTTTAAATACATTCATTCAAAAAGCGCATTTGCTACTAAAATGGTGTCAAATTACTGTCAGTTCAAGTACAATTGATGGGGTTTTGTTTGGTGATGTTTTGCAAATATCAGTAGATTGTATATTGGTTTGAATGACATGATCATATATCGATCGTGTTGCCTGACTACAGTGACACTATGGTTTGTTGACACGACCAGTTTGCAAAACGATCTGCTGCTGTTGCTGTTGCTGATGTTGATCGGATATCGGACAGTGTCACATTTGGTCTTGTTGTGACAAAGTTTGATCATTCGACATATAGTCTGTATACTAACCTGAACCAATCGTGCAGTTGTACAACAGATAGTTCATGGGTTCAAAATGTTGCCATGACAGCCTGATTGATGCTGTGTGCATGGTTTGAACACATACTAATATTGAGTCGCTGAAATATAAATACCTGTGTTGATTCGTGTTGTATTCAGTTGTAAACACACCAATATTTTGATCAGCAACACCAAGTTTATTAAATGTATGCATTATTCAATGTGTTATGAATCCAAAAGGGTTTGAAAACAATGGATTGAGCAATACACTGTGCATTTGCTGTGCGAGTGCAGAGTTGTAATTACTTGTAATCAATTTCATTTTTAGGTGATGGTTTAAATGGAGGATGATCATCATTTTAAAGTCCGTTTTGGGACTTCTGTAGATTTTATTTCGAGAATGATTTAAGGAGTTGGGTTTGGGCCGAGAGATAATGTCTTTTTTGATCGAGGTGGTTTAGGTGGTGGTAATTTTGTAGATGTGGATGGTATCTCAGTTGATCGAGATGGTGATCGAGGTGGTTTAGGTGGTGGTACTTTTTTAGCATTAGATGGTGTCCCATTTGACTGAGGTGGTGATGATTTAGGCGATGATGGTTTAGGTGGTGGTGGTTTAGGTGGTGGTGGTCCAGGTGGTGGCGGTATAGGCGATGATGGTTTAGGTGGTGATGGTTTAGGCGATGATGGTTTAGGCGATGATGGTTTAGGTGGTGGTGGTCTAGGTGGTGGTGGTATAGATGATTCACCTGACTGAGGTGATGGTTTAGGCGGTGATGGTTTAGGTGGTGATGGTTTAGGCGATGATGGTTTAGGCGATGATGGTTTAGGTGGTGGTGGTCTAGGTGGTGGTGGTATAGATGATTCACCTGACTGAGGTGATGGTTTAAGCGGTGATGATTTACGCGATGATGGTTTAGGCGATGATGGTTTAAGTGGTGGTGCTCTAGGTGATGGTGGTATAGATGATTCACCTGACTGAGGTGATGGTTTAGGCGATGATGGTTTAGGTGGTGGTGGTCCAGGTGGTGGAGGTATAGATGATTCACCTGACTGAGATGATGGTACACTCTTTTTTGATTGTTTAAAAGGATTACGGGGGGATTTAGACCTTTTCTTTGGACGATTCGACTTGGGATCACCGTCACTTTGTTTTTTAGTAAAAAACTTTTTGATTTTGTCAAAAAGCTGTCGCTTCTGAAGTCGGAGACCATTATCATTAGCAATACTGTTGGTCGAAACAAGCTCGGCGTGAACAGAAATGGCCAGTATCGACACAAGTGCAAAAACATCGATCTTCATGTTGGAGTGTCAAATATGCTGGTAGATGCGGTGAAGTGATGAAGTGATGAGAAATCGATCGATTGTGAGATTATACTCGACAATTGACCGACGGTTTATATAATCGAGCATCTGATCATTAATATCAGGGCTGGCTTTGCACCCTGCATAACAGCACAATGATCGTTCGTGTTTATATAATCGAGCATCTGATCATTAATATCAGGGCTGGCTTTGCACCCTGCATAACAGCACAATGATCGTTCGTGTTTATATTGCACTGATGAGCGGCCTCGAGTAAAATGCTTTATCAACAACCACAATACATCATGTGTTTAGTCCTGAATCATAAGGGCTTTTCATACATGCAATACGATGATGGTTATTGGCAGTCCTTCATTTATCTCCATTCCCGTCCTTTTGTTACTCGTCTTAGCGATAGTACTACAAGCACAGACACCCTATACAAAGGGTGAATACAATACACAAGCGTACCATACATGCTGAGTAAACGAATCAATGGTTGCCAAAAACTGTACAATTATTATCCACCAAAAATAATCTGCTCTGATCAATAATCTAGTAAAATACTGATCACACCGCAGTGCCTCTTTTTCGTTATGCAAATGACTTTTTCAGATCAAGTCCAGTTGATTTTCCAGGATCATTCACTCGTTCAGAAAATCCACCTGGTTTGCTGAAAGAATATGTTTCCAGCTGTTTATAGTAAAAGCAATACCGACAGAATCAATGTAGACATCACCATGGATTGCAATCAAATATTGACACATTTAATTTTCACATTCATTGTGATTGAAATAGTTTGGTATGCGAGTATATCGGTATTTTCCGACCCAATTCTATCATTTCCCAACTTGAACACCTATAACGGACCCACTCTGTCATACGTTGAGCATGGACGAGTCCTTGGTGCAAAATATGATGATATTTCTTGTTGGAACGGATACAGGTTCGAAGCTACCATGGATATTTCACATATTAGATTAGCTGCCAGTAATATTCTGGTACTAGAAACTTTTGAACAGTCATCCGATTCAGTCGTTATTGATGACAAGTACAAGCAATGCATATGGGGTTTGCCTATTATTCATTGACATATTATCGCACAAGATCAAGAGCTGTAATGGATGCTTGGTACAGGAATAAAATTATTTCTAAAAACAAAATTGATATTCAGCCGTGTCCGTATCAGTTTTCAAAAAAAGCTATATAGATATACAAAATGCACATGTAATTGCAAAATGTGGAACTGACAGAGTTTCTGTTACATGAGTTTATTGACCCACAAGAAACTACTTTGCTGTCAAGATCAAGCAAGTACTAGTCAATGATGTGCCAAAAAGACTGCCCGGTGTATTTCAAAACGCACTGCTTTATTGTATTGATCGGTATTTGTATTTATACACATGCTCTATATTTATACATTTGTCTCCCAACATTGTGGGATCGTTGATTGTAGCAATCATTCATAGTAATGCGTATACACCGAGACTTACTGCGTAAACATCACACCGCGTATATTACATTGCAAACTGATACAGCACTAATTGATCAATACACGACATGATCAGTTGATGGTATCATGCAACTGACAAGTGATTGCAAGTATGATTGATAGTTACACGTACAATCAACACTAGTTGTTATCAAGTCATTGATGTATATGTAATAAACCGTGTCAATGTATCAATCAATGATATGGTTGTTGACCCATTCACAACATTCTGAAAATATCAAAAAATCTCGACAGATATTAGAAAGTTTAAATTTATTCAAAATCAAGTCCTGGTACATCTTTAATTCGACTCCGGCTCTGCCTTTAATATCAAGCCATGGTCTTCCATAAACTTTGTTAATTGCTGTTTTCTAGTTTTTAATTTGCTCTTTGCATCTTCACACTCTTGTTTCATTTGACTTTGGACGCTTGGATTGTGCTTTGTTCCAAACTTGACTTTGGTTTTTGCCAGCACTGATTTTTGTTTCAATCCAAGGGATACATAATCAAAGTACGCTCTGCACTTTCCTCGCTGTTTGCTTTCAGCGACTTTAACTCTTTTCTTTAGATCAGCAAGGGTATGTTGATCTTCTTCATCTAATAGTGCTTCTTCTGGACGAATATTTCCCGACTCGCCTTCCTCCATTGGCTCTTGCTGGTCTTGATTGGAAGTGCTTGGACCGGGTTGATCCATTGATTGTTGATGGCGTTGCATGAAAACACTTGGATCATCCAACTCAGCGTCATCCCAATCTTCGTCGGAAGTGCTTGAGCTATCTGCATCAAATAAGTCATCCCATTCTTCATCAGAAATGCCTGAGCCAGCTTCATCCATGTGTTGCTGACCTTGGCTAGAAGTGCTTGGCCCAGCTACATTAGTTGGGGCTGGCATTTGACTGGAAGTTCTTGAACCAGTTCCATCAATTAGGTATTGCGGGCCTCGGGATGTGTCATCTTTTTTAAATGGGATCAGTATCGCGTTAGCAGTTGCTGCTGCAGTCAGTATGAATAAAATGTCGACGAATTTCATTAGATCGATTGATGGGTTTGAGCAGTTGATGGAAAAGTACCGAGACTGATATTGTTGATTATAAAAGTAAACATATTCCTTGTATTTATACTTTTTGTATGGTAGCCCTGTATAGTTGGTAACCTAAAAGGGCTAGGGCTGGTTTACTAGATTGTTTGTAGTGAACTAACATTACACCACAATATGCTACTCCCTAACCGTAGTACCACATTGATGAGCTTGATGTTGACATGGATCAACATGCTGACACGTCCCTTTGTCAAGTGTCTTGAAAAGCACACCCTTCAAGAGTGTTGTGTAATTGCACAAGCGCTTGGTTTAAAGCCGTATTCACGTAAAAATGAAACACTTTGGTACCCATTCTGTGACAACTGCTTTGCTTCAAAAATAATTGAATGCTTGATCGACTCTGTTACTACACATTGACCCACTCTTTAATAGACACAACGGACATCATATAACGCACACAGACTGATCTTCAGCTGAAACTATCCCTCTACACACTTGACAGTCATACATTGTACAATCACCAATTCTGAACCCATATTCATGTATTGTGTTTGACTGTCAATACAACTCTGTACACCCATTTGTTGTATTCTGAATCACAGATACGATCGCGATCTAGTTCAACAATGATGGCACATGTCAGTAATGCAGTTGCTGTTTGCATGCCAATTACCACCAACACCACTGTATTGTCAACCATGTCATGGCACTGACTGTTTATCTAACAATTACATTCCAATAATCGTAGAAAACAAAGGTAAGCATTGACCAAACCAATAACAGCTTGTCCAATCTCAACAACATACCTAAAGTGTCTGCTCTCCAGTTTAATTGATGGATAGCTGCTCCATTTCAAAAATGAAAGTTTCCAACTGGATCTAGCGCAAACGATCGCTTGCTTTCCAGAATTAAATATTGAGAGCACAGCCGTTCAATCATGGGTTGATAGTGACGTGACAAGTCTGGATCATCAAGCCATCGAGTATCCTCAGATATCATCTAAAGCGATTCAAACAGTGATTTAGCATACAATACAAACCAAACTTGATCCAGGTATTTAAACTAGACAATGCACTTTAACATCCACACCTCCTAGTCCTATACATGACATGCATTAAACTACTGCGTGCCATCACAAATACCATGCACTGTTCAACACATACCACGTTGAGATGATGTAATAGAATAAAATATGGCAACTGTGGGATCCTTGGTGTCGGGATGTGGACCTGTCAGTATATTTTGAATCCGAGTCGATATTTCATTGACAAGTGTTACCTTTTACTCAAGCAATGTGTTGTTGGCTATAGATTAGCCAAGGTGCTGCAAATGAGATTGCAAACTAAAATGATCGGGATACACACCTGCACAAATGTAAGTGGTTCCTGTGGAATACCACGATGGAAGAAGCAGTAGCAAAGACGACCAGGACCAAGTCGCTGTTTAAGACCATCCCACGACCCAATAGCATGCACAGCTTCATAGGAAATGATCTAAACCATTCAATTTAGCAAATAAGCTATTTCATCACATTAATGTAAAGCGTTGCAAAATATCCGCAAGAATCTACCTTTTCAAGTATGCTTGCCGGTGTGTGCCAAGTAATGCGTTCCAAATCAAGGAATCCCATGCCAAACCACTCCTGTAGTCGGTTTTTAAGAGAGTCACCAAATGCAGAGTATCGTAAGCAGGTATCAATGCTTCTCGTAGTCTTGCTGATGATCGTAAAACTGTACAATCTGTCATGCACTATAGTTTATATCTCAGCACCAAGTATCATTTTGAGCAATGTAAAATCAACATGTATGATTGCTCTTACTAGCGATTCTTCAAACTGCTGTACAGCAGATGCCGTTTCCTGTAAATCAATACAGAAATCCTTGGCCAGTATATGCAAAAATTTAGATCGTCCAGTCTGCAATACACAATTGGGTCAATCCAATATTCCTAAACGTTCATTTCAAAACCAGTTGTCATTGTAGATTTCAAGACGTACCAGATCTTGGTTTTCATAAAACTCGCAGAGTTGACGAGTCAGTAACGATGGCCAGATATCTCCATCCTCTCGTTTTGCCTTGACAACCCCAGCTACTAGTTTTCGAACACCTTTTTCATTGTTTTGAACATTCATCAATTCATCATCATTCGTGCTGGAATGGGGTTCATCTCGATATCCGAGTGTATAATAGTCTAGAAACCAAATTGTGAAATCAACAAGAGCATATTAGATGTCAATGTAAAACAATCCAAATTGTAATGATCCAACTGGCAAGTTTTTGGAAATACAGTGAATCCAGCAAGTTGAATTCCAATAGCAAATCTGAAATCAGTGCATTCAGATATTACAAGTCGTCAATAGTACTCACCAGGATAGTTTGAGTTCAACATTACATCGTCCCAATACTTTTCAACAGTAGAGCTGGGTGGAATTGGAACTTTTGTTGATAGTTTATGGACAGAAGTAATGGGTGAGGAGGGCAGACAAGCTCCCAAGAATCTTGAATGAATTGGGTTGCTCTGAATAGATTGGCAGGCTGGATATAAAGAGTTACGATGATGTATCCAGCTTCTATTGGCAATGATCGCAGCTACAGCACGAGTAGATTGTGTGGTGATGGACTGATATCCCTTGTGGCTAGTTCTTTGTAAACAGCCCATATCACATCTCATCTTGACAAGCAACTCCAAATGTTGGTTATACATCAAGGTTAAAATATGCTTGGATCGTATCTATTCAAGACATTCCTCATGAACAAGCCATCAACCCATTTTCAACAACCATTGGATCGATCGACGCGAATTTCGCTCATAGTATGCCATCAAAAACACGATATTCGATGGAAATGCATTTAGTATGTTTGTCAGTATACTTGGTTTTTAATCTAAAAATACTGACAACACACTCAACAGTTGATTCAAATGCCATCACCAAATCAATAAACTAATTTGTTGGATATTCTAGCTTTGAGTTCAAGGGTTTCTTTGAGTAAAAGTTGAATGACTGTTTATTTCATTGAAATGCCCACATTCCACATTCCATAAAATGAGAGATGAATAGAACTGAAGTGAAAATAAAAATCAGCGACAATGCTGAAGCTTAAAACCATCATCAAAAACAACCTATGATGAGATTAGAAAAGAGCAGGGCTCATCTTGCTTTCAGGAGTGCGAGTCTTGTAGTATTCAATAACCTTTTTGGCCTTTTCGGAAACAGCTTCAGGCACCAAGCCAAACTTTTTGTACAAAAGCTAATAATGGAAAACGCATTGAAAACCATGTCAGTTAAATAAAACAGAATGTACAAGATTAATTCAACTCACCAAGTATGGAGCAGAGGCACCAAACGTATCAATACCACACGAAGCATGAGCATATTTGCTCCATCCCAAGGTAGTCATGGCTTCCATACTAAGTGTAGGAATATTATCAAGGAAAACAGAGGCACGATATTCGTGACTTTGATCTTCAAAGAGCTCCCAGGACGGCATAGAAACAACACGAGCCTATCAAATATACTGTTAGTCCAATGTCATTGAAGTTTGATGCAAAATTAAATCAGCACACTAGTTATTACCTGGATTCCCTCCTTGGCAAGCATGGCAGCAGTATCCACAGCAAGAGAAACCTCGGATCCAGTGCCAACAAGGGTGATTTTGGCATTTGCAGATTCACTAAGCACGTATGCACCCTTGAGAGTTTTTTCAACGGTCGAGCCTTCAAGCTGAGGAAGATTCTGACGAGTGAAAATCAAAACCGAGGGACGATGACGATTTTCAAGAGCAGCAACGTAGGCACCAGAAGTTTCATTACCATCGGCAGGACGAAGGGTGATGAGGTTGGGAAGTGCACGCAAACTCGCAAGTGTCTCGATGGGCTGATGAGTGGGACCATCTTCACCAAGACCAATAGAGTCGTGGGTCATAATGTAGATGACCTGATGTTTAGAGAGGGCAGACAAACGAACAGCACCGAGGGCATAGCTGCAGTTTTACATCAATGTCAAAGTCAAATAAAACCACCCAACATTGAAAGATCACAAGTTTACCTGATAAAGTTGAAGAATGTAGCACCAAAAGGAATAATGCCACCATAGGCGTTCATGCCGTTGCAGATGGCAGCCATGCCGTGCTCGCGAACGCCAAATCGAATGTAACGACCAGCATACGATCCCAAGCCAGAAACATCCTTTTAAAAACCAAAAATAGTTGATTGTAAGCATTAGACTGGAAAATGATATCATTGATAGAGTACACGTACTGGCTGAAAGTCAACAGCACCCTTCCAACGAGTAAGATTGGATCCAGTTAAATCAGCTGATCCACCAACAAGTTCGGGAATAGAGAGAGCAATTTTGTTGAGGACATTTTCAGAAAGTTTACGAGTGGCAACTGCAGGATCAGCAGGAGTGTACTTGGGAAGAAGATCTTTCCATCCAGTAGGAAGTTCATTATTCAAACGACGATTGAGTTCACTAGCCTAAAAGTGCAGCAGGTTAGTTTACTTGAAATTAATTTGAACAGATCATCAGTTGTGATTATACTCACCAGATCTGGATGGGCGACAGCATATTCTTGCATAAGTTTAACCCATGCATTGTAGCCAGCAGCACCGCGAGCCGATGCATCATGATAGTGCTTATACACCTAAGAATACTATTAGTCACAGGAAACAGTGAAATATGGAGTATAGTTTATAAAAAGTATCGTGTACCTCGTCAGAAACGTGAAAATGGACTTCGGGATCGAGTCCAAACTTGATCTTGAGCTGAATAATATCCTTTGCACCGAGTGGAGAACCGTGAACCTTTTCCTCACCCTGAAGAACAGATCCAAACCCAATAGTGGTACTTTAAATCAAATAGAATTAGCATGACAATGGCAAGCAATTACTGCTTTCATGTTAATATTATAGCGCCAAGGCCACATACCGGATCTTGATGAGAGAAGGTTTATCAGTGACAGCCTTGGCCTTTTGAATAGCAGCAATAATTCCAGCTACATCATTATCGCCATCCCCAAGAACCTGAGTATGCCATCCGTAAGACTCGAAACGTTGAACAACGTCTTCCGTGAAGCCTACCTCGATATCACCTAAAGCACAAAATGATTCATATACCAGATCAACACAAGACGAATCGACACAAAAACAAAGATCATGGGCCTATTACCATCGATGGTGATATGATTGTCATCATAAAGCATAATGAGGTTTCCAAGCTTCAAATGGCTATAAAAGTAGATTTAGAAAACAACGAATTAGGATGTTGGCGTTACCAATACAAACCAGCACAACAACGTACCCAGCAAGCGATACGGCCTCAGCCTGGACACCTTCTTGCAGACAACCATCACCAGTAATACCATAAGTGTAGTTGCTAATCACCTGAAAGCCAGGACGGTTGAACGTAGCAGCCATATGAGCTTCTGCCATGGCAAGACCAACGGCATTGGAGATACCCTGACCCAGAGGACCAGTAGAAACCTCGATGCCATGCACGCCGTGATTGGCCTCGGGATGACCAGGAGTTCTAAATAGACAGGATTGAGTGAGGAATCAAGCACGTTGGACAGTGTAAAAAGGGAGGTTTCATGGATGACAAAAGCATTCAGTGCAAGAGTAGAGTTGATTAGTACGAGTCATGACAGAACAGAACAAGACAGAACAGAACAGATTGTCATGATTGAACCGGATTATCAAATGGCATGACAAATGGAATGGATCAGCAATGCATTGACAGTTGAACATACCTTGAGTTGAGTTGACGGAAAGACTTGAGATCGTCCATGGAGAGATTGTAACCCAGCATGTGCAGCATAATGTACTGCAGAACACATCCATGGCCATTAGAGAGAACAAACCGATCACGAGAGATCTAATGGAATGAAGAGAGTGTAAGCGATGATGGCGTATAAAGTACATAATCAACTTTGCATTCAAGCGATAGAATTTCATCAAGTTTTCTCAAGAATGTCAACTCATCAAGACTGTAATGCAGCAAGATGAATTCGTTCAGATCCAGCAATGATACTTGCCCAGTCAGGATGTTGTGGATCTTGACAAATAAAGTTTGAAAACAAAACATGAGCCATTGGAGCACAACCCATGGGAGCGCCTGGATGTCCTGAATTTGCTTTTTGAACTACATCAGCAGCAAGAGTTCTGATTGTATTGATTGCAAGAATGTCCATGGTAGAAGGCATAGTGGAAATGCAGGTCGTGGAGAGAGTTGCTTGAATGGATTTCAAACTAAAATTCATCAAAAACTGTCCTCAGGCATAAACACAACTCAAACAGCGTACCTTGTCATACAAACAGTTGCTTGTCGAGTGTCGAGTAGTTTCTTGTACTGACAAGAAACTCTTGATGTCATGTAATGAATGAATGCTTTTGGCATGACATCAATCCGGTGTCTTGTCATGACTCTTACTATTGTGTTCATGTTAAATCCAACACAGAGTGTTGAACTGGAATAAACAATGCTTGAAATATTCCTTGAAAATATGTCATGAATACGCTTGAATTCTTTCAACACACCATCGTATGATGCTCACAAACTATAATTTCTCTTATTTGGTAGTCATACACTGTACAATCTTGAGATATTATGACTCCATCATAGTCTAACATATTTGTTACGTTCTAGTTCAAGAAAGCAAAGATTGCACACTTTGGAAATACAATTCTAATGTCAATCATCACACAAAGTTCAAAAAGCAATGTTATTTCAGTCATGAGACTCGTTGTTTATAATGTGTTGATATCCTTATTTAGTAATTCATTTTACGCGACTACGGCTGTAAAAAGTATATCAATCCTTCAACTGAAACTCTTTCAAACTATCGTTGATTATGATTAAAAACATTCTCTTTATAGCTGTATCAGCTGCATTCTATTCTATTCATGGTGTCTGTGCTTATGGGAAACTTGGGCATTGGCTATCCGGTCGCATTGCACAAGAACTTTTGAATACCGAGTCTACTGCTTTGGCTTTACAACTTCTTCCTCAGTATCATGGCCAACTTGCAGGTGCTGCATCATGGGCTGATGGTAAACTTGTTTGATGTGATTTAACTCTAACCCTGGTCGTGCTTAATTTGCGCCATCATTTGATAACTAATGCCTTGACCTTGATTTAGAAATCAAATCCAAACCCGCATTTAGCTGGACCAAGTCCCTTCATTATATCAATCCAGTCAATGACCATCCACCAGAACAGTGTAGTTACGAACCAGGTTCACGAGATTGTCCAAACAATATCTGTGTTGTTGCTGCCATTCACAATTACACGCAACGATTAATCTCTCCTCCAAAAGACGAAAATGTAATGGCTGTTCGTGAAGAATCACTCAAATTTCTACTACATTATATCGGTGACTTGCATCAACCACTTCATGTTACAGGTCGCGATCGAGGTGGTAATAGTGCTCAGGTTCGGTTCAATGGTCGCTTGACTTCATTGCATGGTGTTTGGGATTCGCTCATGTTTGAGGTAAATGTAAACTTTTGTCTTGCAATATTAACTACTCTACTGACATTGTATTAATCCATCACCCGTTATGCAACACAATTTCATGCAATAGAAACGAATTCGTGATGACTTTGGTGGTAACAAGGATAAGTATGTAGAATATATAGTGCAACAGATGTCTACAACCTGGCGCAACGAGCTACCTGAATGGATCACCTGTCCCAATACCAACACATCTATTCCAGTATGTCCAGAAAAATGGGCCAGATATTCAAATATTGTCAACTGTGTGTATGTTTGGAAAGACTATCGACGCAAATTCGAAATGTCGGGTAAATATTACACAACTGCCATTCCAGTTGCAGAAAAGTTACTTGCTCAATCTGCTCTACGATTTGCTGCTGTATTTGGTGCATCTACCATGGAAATTGGAAACAACTCATTGATCATTGATGCCAAGCAACTTGCTACTCCCATGAATAATTTGAATCAATGGACCAATATCAATCTAAAAAACACCGACCACCAAGTTGATTATGGCTTAAACATGGATTCTACACTGGTGATGAATTCAGACGAGACGGACTTTAATCTACCTTTGGATACTATGGATTTCGGTATCTACAATAGCAATGATGTGCCTTTACTAGAATCTACTGAAAGTATCGATTCGTACGATAGTAGCGTAGATAGCAACAGTTTAATGTTTTTTATTAGACACGTTATTGGCTTGTAGATTTTATTGCAACTGCTCACATTTGACAGTGGTTTTGTCCAGCTCTATTTCCCCTTTTCCACCATCGTATTTACGTAAAATGAAGTTAAACAAGGTATTCAAATACATAATAAACAACCGATTTAGTAAACATTGTTGTGTTTTTTGAACTTTGTGTGATGATTGACATTAGAATTGTATTTCCAAAGTGTGCAATCTTTGCTTTCTTGAACTAGAACGTAACAAATATGTTAGACTATGATGGAATCATAATATCTCAAGATTGTACAGTGTATGACTACCAAATAAGAGAAATTATAGTTTGTGAGCATCATACGATGGTGTGTTGAAAGAATTCAAGCGTATTCATGACATATTTTCAAGGATTGATGATATTGCAATATACTTGTTCAAAACAGTCAATACAGACATGAAGAGTTTGAAGTTTCATGTATTTAATGTGCTATCCAAATCTACACGAGAGGCTTGATCCGTCTTTTGACATTTAGCCTGCAAATCTGGCAGTTTTACCCTCTTTCACAACACTCTTGCAGCCCATGTTCATCAAAACAACACCACTCATATCAATCCTGGGAGTTCTTTTGACTTTCTTTACTTGTAGTCATGCAACCCTGTCTTCAAACTATGGCGAAGATTCAAATTATGGCGATGTAAAACCCTCCGCTTCGCATTTCAGAGAACGACTTGAAGCTATTGGTTATGGTCAAGACAGTAATGAGAAAGGCGACAGCAACCAAGAAGTCATCTATTTTTTCTCTATTCACGATTACAATTATGATGGGATGCTGGATGGCCATGAGTTGAGGTTGGCATTTCAGGGTTATGAGCAGGATACTGGTAAAGAAAAGGCTCATATAGACTTGGCGGATCTGGAAACTATGATTGATCATGCTTTAGCAGAGGTGAGGGTTCAAGTTTATGCTTTTATTGTCTAGTAGTGTTGGCTATTCTGCTAACATGGTTTTGGATTCAAATGTTTTTAGGACGATACAAACAACGATGGCATGATTTCTTGGGAAGAGTATTTGGAATCACAGTCTTATCACCACAAGCTCAATGTGAATCAAACCTAGGAAATAAACTGGATACCAGTGTTTGGTTGTTGTTTTTAAATGTATGGAATGTTTCTTGTTTTTGTATAACCAGATACTACAGTATGTGGTTATACAAGCCAAAATCTTATAAAGATGTTCCATCCATAAAACATAAATTTCATTGATACCGGCTTTGATAAATTTAAATACTACAGAATGCCATTGATATATTTATTTAAATATCTATTCTGCGTGAACGTGCTCCTCGGGATGTTCTGGCGTGGCAGCAGGAATACAGGACGGAGGCTGGATCACATCGTTGAACACAAATGTTCTATTCAACATAGTTGTAGCAGAAATTAGTAATTAGACTAGTGTGCAGAAACAGACTATACGTGTAATCAACTCAAAACCTTACCCATAGATCAAGACAGCAAAGCCAACGACTTGAAGCCATTTGAAGGTTTCCCACTGCAAAGCCAAGCTTGCCATCCAAATAAATAGAGTTCTATCCAGTTTAAAGCGTGTTTAGTCATGAGTTGATATTAACAAGCGTAGCAAAAATAAGGTTTACCTGCATGTATCGATGGTAGATCGCGAAGTAGCCGAAATATTTCGGGTGACGGACAGACCAAACCAATTGAAGAATGCGATTGAGAATACAATGCCGATACCAGCCCATAATACCTGTGGGTTATCAACAACCATATGGTAGCCCACATACATGTCAAAGTAGTTTCCAGGTTCACCATGGACACCCAATGTGTAATGAAGAATAGGCATTCCAATGGCAGTGCAAGCCAGACCAAAGAATCCCTCCAATCCCACTGCTTTAATGGCAGGCACTTCGTATTTGGCCATGATCTTTTCTTCCAATACAAACTGCAAAGCAGTGAATGTCTGTGCAATAACAACGAGAAAAATACCAAGAGCGTAGCCGCTAGGCTGTTCGACACTTTCCAAGGCTGTGACATCAGCCAGTAGAAAAGATTCAGCAAGAGTACTACTGTTGGAATAGACAGGCGGAGTAGTTCCAGGGGTCATCACCCCACTAAGACCGACGATGGCGACTCCAGCAAAAACAGTGACTAGAGAGAACCAACGGTACAATGGATGACGTCGACCTAGAAACAGAACACTTAGTGTCCCAGTGAACAGAACAACGGATCCACGAAGCATCTGATAGATACTTGCAGAGATAAAGATCAGGCCAACATTCATAAACGTAGTCGAGGTTAGATCGCATAGTGTTGGGAACAAGAACAGAATATTAAGCCAACCCTTGAGTGGTTCGCGAGTGGATTCAGGAGTGATATTAGCAGCAGTATAACTTAGTTCTTCATTAGATGAGGTTTGAGGAGAGACCAACGGAGAGGTTTCATCAAAGACTGAAGTTTGGACATGATTGCTGTGATGGGATGCCGAGTCAAGTTGCATGTACTTGCGGAATCGATCCAACAAAGGTTCCAACACAACCGCACCGTAATACACTAGCAAACAGGCAGCTTCACCAATGAACATATTAAGAGTCTAACCAATTGAAAACATCAGAATTAGTTGTTGGAATCAAACCCAATAGCTGAATAAACATACCTGCCATAACGGCTGTTCAAAGTAATGCCTGCGAGACTTGTCAGGATCATCACAATGAGCAACACAAGTCAAGTCCTGTAATTTATTAAGTAAAGTGTTGATGGTTCCAGTGAACAACATTCCCACTACGAGGAACAACAGCAATGATTGTTTCATGATGCTCAGAACAAGTAATAGTTTTAATTTTCAAAGAAAGAAATGGATTGCTTTATAAACTGCTTGAATCTAACAAGTTTTGGTGCACCAAGACTGTCGTTCAGAAACAATCGAGTTGCATGTTATAATAACAGTCATTTTGAATGTCATGAACAACAGGAAATCATGATAGTTTTGGTGTGTGTGGATGGCATGCTGAACAGCGAGTTGGTCATTCATGAAATCAATGACTTGTTCAAACTTTACAATTCAAATCTACTCGATAGATACGAGTCAGGGCTGGTAGCAGTTGGTAATACTCTTGCCAGTCTTATTTAATATATTAAATCAACAGTCTTGAATCCATGTCAGACCCAACAGCTTCCAGTTTACTCAACACTATCACTGCTTCTGACAGACTCAGTGCTAGTAGCACTGATAGCTTAAACCACTCTGCCAGCAGCAGTATCGATTCAAAACAGTTGCCCGCTTCTCGCTCTGCCAACGACTTTGTCTTGCGAGTCAGAGCCGGTCCTTCATATTCTAACCTCACCACTATAAGAGTCAATGATGAACATCATCCTTTTCTGTTGGATTCGGAGCATTTTACTGGATACTTGGTGGTTCGCTATCTCAACTTCTCGGGTGTTATTCCCGAGATGGATGCTGCTTTAAAGACAGATCCTTCTGACCATACTAGTAGCAATAAAGGAAATGATACTGCACAGACTGTCTTGCATCAAGATCATAGCAGTACAGGCACTTCTCTCTCTGCTCCACCGAGCGCATCCTTTGCTACTCTCTCCATCGATCATTCATCTGATAGAAAGGCATCGTTGGACTCGACTGTGTCCATGGGCACAAATAGAACTGTTCATGTCAACTCACTGGATGACTTATCCAAGACAGACTTTGCACACGCCACATCGATAGTCTCTGACAAGTCCAAAGCAGTCCCTGGTAGTACTGGTATGGCTACTCACGTCAAGACTACCAGTACTGACAATACAATGGCTCGTCCTATTCACAATCCTATTAGCTCATATTTTCAAGGTCGCAACAGACGCTACTCCATCATGTTGCAGGGTCGCTTCAAAAAAGAGTGGAAGGGTGACGATATTATCTTTGGTGCCAATATGGCCTCTCCGCTTCGAACACCTCCTGGTGCTTCCATTGCCATTAGAATTGCAAAATGGCTTGATCCTTCTGTCGAGGCCGATCTCGACTGTCATGAGCCTTACATTTATTCTCCCATGGTGTCTTCCATGAACTCTCTTGCCGTCTTCAACGACGTGGATATGCCTCAGATTGCGTTGGGCCAGTTTCCTGTCAATGCAGTCATATCAAAACCTCCAACTGTACAAACTTCCAGGGGATTGACTAGCTTTCTCACTGGCAGTTACACTACCAATAATGCTACAAAAAGCATCAGCACACATGTCTCCCCCGCTGGATCACAATTACTAGATCAGACTTTGAGTTCCGTCCCATCAGCACCTTTATTAAACACTGTTCCCTCGGTCGACATTGGTCCGTGGGCATTTCATTCTCAGTTTGTTCCAGAATATACCTCATTACTCTTTCCTTCCAATACAAAACAACCTTTATTGACTTCCTATGATAAACGGAAAAGGTTCTTTGCAGATATCACCAAGCGTAATGCCGTCACATTCTCTCCACAAAATATTTATTGCATGGATTTCTATGATGCATATTTTGATTTCAATACGGTCTCTGTCAAATTACCCGGTATCTCACTCAGTGCATTCAAGTTTTGGGAAGGTCAACCGTTGCGATACGTTGCCATGAGTCGAGATCGATCTACTGTTTTTTTTGTCATTACATTTGAATTGATTGAAAAGTCGGCGTATGCTGATACGGTCGACTTTCAAGTAGACAAGGACATGTCTAAACAGTCCAATGTTGATTTGAGTTCTAAAACAGATTCAGAAGCACAACTAGAAGATTTGGATATTCCTCCTCTCGAACCTTCATGATTGAATAAATACTTTTTCCAGACTAAACCAACGTTTACAGCCAAACGACGCGATGATTGATCGAGAGTAAAATCACGTGATAAGAATGAACTTGACAATTTGACTTGTGGCATGAATAGCATTTGCATAGGAACACTCACTCTTTTGCACACCAATCCTCATCAACAACGATGCGGTCAGTTGATTTTGTCGTTTATAGAGTTGCATGTTGCACTGTCTTTACGATTGATTGCATCAATGTGTGCAGCAGTCAAGTCATCATGGATGGATGCATTGTTGCCAACGCATGCATGAACTTCAAGTCATCTGCTTCCATTTACATTACAGCATCGACCATCTTGCATTCCATTTGTCTTTGGCTGAATCGGTCTTTAATTATCAGTTTATTGGTCAGGATTCATCAACAGTTGACTGCCATTGCTGCTTAATCACCAGACTTGATGTTTTTAGACATTGGAATCCTTGACTGCTGCAACATCCGTTTTTGATTGGACTTTGTGTATTGAGTACTGACTTGATGTTTTTGGTTTGATTCTTGTACTTTGATATGCTGCTGCTATTACCATTCTACATTCGTTTAATTCAACAGCACGGAGGTATGCTAATTCATGTAATTGAGTCAACTAGCATATAAAGATTCATCCATTCTAACTCATTGCTTCAATACTGTGAATCAGATCTGCAATTTTTCTGGCTTCAAGATCTATCCCGGAAAGGGTCGTCTGTATGTTCGTTCTGACAGCAGAGTAAGTTTTTGTTGTTGCAAGCCAAATTCTGCATCGATTGTCTAACCAATACCATTTTGAATCCTACTTGTCATTCAATCCATTCTAGGTCTTCCGTTTCATCAACCGTAAGTCTGAGTCGTACTCTCTTCAGCGTCTAAAGCCTTCCAAGCTTGACTGGACTGTTGTTTTCCGTCGTCTTCACAAGAAGGGAATTTCTGAAGAAACTTCCAAGAAACGCACTCGTCGCACTGTCAAGGTTCAGCGTGCCGTTGTTGGTGCATCTCTTGATGCCATCAAGAGCAAGCGTGACCAAAACCCCGTCGCACGTGCTGCCGAACGTCAAAAGGCCGTTGAAGCCATTAAAGAAAAGAAGAAGAGCGATCAGGCCAAGAAGAGAGCCGAGAAAGCAAAGGTGCCTGATGCAGATATATACTTCATACTATCGATTGCCAAATGGCTGACATTTGTTTTACTTTTATTTTAGGCTGGCCATGTTGCCCCCGTCCAGATGAAGACCAGCAAACAGCAGGCCAAGGGATCTGCTCCAAAGGTTGCAGCCAAGTCGCGTTAAGCTACTACTGTTTTATAAATCCTCAAGAACAGCTTTGTTTTCACAACTTTTTGTACTTTTAAATTGGTTTGGTTAGTTGAGTAGTTCCAAAATAGATGGAGTCTGGTTGATAGCAGATTAGCGAATAGGAGTTTGTTCAAAAGTGTCTGCATCAAACTGCAAATTGAATGTCGCGAGTCTAGCAATACTGCGTCAAACTCCGACTTGATTGGTCTAGTTTGAACGTGTATCTTTCATTGACAATACATTCAACACTTGAATATTCAAGTTACTCTTAAAATAGTACTCTGCTTGTAGATTTTAGTTTATTCTAGCCAGATATATCCCACACTGGTGAACACATTGAGTATACAGAATGCCGCTAGCGCCATATTCTTTCGAGACTAGTAGAAATGGTGCAGCCGCTATCCCCCATGCAGTTCAAAATGCCCACCTTCCATCTGACCCATACACAGATGAACGTATTCTTTGGCTTCGTTCCAAAGTGGAGTCTGGCTTAATGCTCGAGTTTGACGAGTTTAAAAACCCACCCAAATTAACGAGTGGTTCGCAGCGAAACAAAGATATCTATCCTCCGTGTATTCCAGACATGTTCAAAGAGTGTCTTGAACGACAAGGTCGTCTTAACCTCCAAATTCTACTCAACTACCTTGAAGATACGCAAGAAAGTGGTGACACTGCACTCACATTTTGGGTGGAGATCATGACGATGCGCGTCGAGGTGCCTGAAGATGAGCCAGAACTGACCTCGAGTCAGCAGAGTATTACTGCAAGCACTATAAGATCTAGTCAAGTGATTTCTGGGTCGCATGTACTGCTTGATTCTAACTTGCCTGTGATTGCAGCTACCGATGAACTGGTTACTGTCAATACTGACAATGCTTTCGTGTCCGACTCGGCTGGTACTGTTTTGGCACACGCTTCTGATATAAACCCTTTGCAAGAGGACGAATCTGCCTCTCAGGAACAGCAAAAAGGTAGTGTTCATGTGGTTCATTTATACTTGCTGATATAGTCCATTATTCTCTACTTTTATCTGAATTGGTATCAACTGAATTAATGCATATTTGAATCAATCTGGTCCATGTTCAAGGCAATGCCGATACTTTTAAAGATGAAAACACAACATCCGATTCTCTTGTAAGTTTCTATTTTAACCAACAATGTATTGCAAATGGGCTGATAAACCAATCACGGTAATGCATTTTTAATTTTGTATGAATTACACTTGAATTTACATGAACATAAATAGTCCAATAGACAGGATTCCAGCACAATCATTAAAAACACACCCAATTCCATAAAAAGAGTTCCATCGGTGGCTATATTTGAAACGCTTCGTTTGCATTTGGCCACAACTCACCTTCCAGAAAAGATTGCTGAAATCAATGCCATTTATTTTTTACGTAATTCATCTGGACCTATTTCATATCCAACATCTGCCAATGGTAATAGTCAACCTAGATTTTATAAAATTTTGAATTGGCTGTATCCCAATCCTGTTTTTTACTAAATCCTATATGAATGCCTATTTTGTAAACGATATAAATAGATGCTGCCAATATCATGTCACATCATCTTGAAATTGGTTACTTTTCTGGGCATGCTTTGCTAATGCTGGAACGAGTGTTGCAGGAAATATATCTGCCCATGCTTTCCACTACTGATTTCTCTGATCTGCACGACGAGACTCATGATACACACAACACAGCAATGGATCGATCTAGAACCGATATTGGAGGAGCAAAGTTTGATGATATCAAATCTGAATTGCTGGTTACAATGCAGAAATTCACTGGTCAGATTGCGCATACAGTTCAACAGGTGGCAGGAGAAACACGTCTCAAGATTCCCGACACGCTTGCTGAGCTCAACACAATGGATGTTCACCAAGCATCTACCGATCCATCGATTCTTCGCACTCTTGAATCACTTGCTGAAGAGTGGGCTGAAACGGTTTCGGGTGCTTTGGCAAAAGAAATGAAAAGGGTTCCGGTAGGAAATGGACCTTTGGCTGAAATCGAATTCTGGCGTGATCGCAGTGCTTCATTGTCTACACTCTACGAGCAGCTCAATTTACCCATCGTGCACAAGATTGGTCATATTTTGAATATTGCACAAGTGCCATGCTCTTCATCTTTAGAATTTCAGCTTACAGAACTAAACAAAATCTACACTGAAGCAAAAGACAGTGTCAAATTTTTAAGTACTCTTGAGCGTCATTTTAAAAACATTGTTATTGGAAGTCTTGGAAGCGTTCAGGTACATGGTTTGATTTAACAGTTTTAGGGGTTGAATTGTAGTTTATCAAATGAGTTTTACATCAAGATGCACTAATTATAAAACTATTTTTGAATTTAAAAGGATTCTCTGCCTTCCCTTTTAAACGCCATTCGAATGGTATGGATTATTTCTCGCCACTACAATCGCGATGAGCGTATGGTTCCGCTGATGAGCCGAATTGCATGGGAAATTGCAAACAAAGTCTTGAATATTGTCAATGTGCAAACTATTCTACGTGAGCCTCCTATAGAAGCAAAAAAGAAAATTCTAGATGCCAAATCCCTACTAGAAAGCTGGAGCACTGTGAGTTTTTATATTGGTATACATGTTTGATGCATCATTGCTATACATTACTCACACTCGTGTATTGCAATAGACATATTTCCAAGTACGCGAACGTATCGAGCAGTCTGGTCGTGATCAGCGATGGGAGTTTGATCGCAAAAAATTATTCGAACAAACCAATTACATGGCACTTCGATGTGGCGATTTATATGAAGTTGCCGAAGTCATGGAGCAATTTTACAGCATTTTTGGTCCTGAATTGAAGGCTGTTACGGGCGACCCACAAGCAATTGATGAAGTCATCAAAAGAGTTGAAGCACTTATTCTTCCTTTCGAGATTGTTCCATTTGATATTTTCAATAAGCGGTAGGCATAGTACATTTGATTCACCACTGTTTCATGATGTAGTGAATGATGACTTTTGTTGATATTTTGTACATTTTGGATTTACTTGTAGTAATCAATTGGCTTGGGAAGGGGTCATGGCTCGTTTTCGTGAACAAATCGTTCAAATTGAAGATATGGCCAAACAGTTTATCGATGCCTCGTTTAAAAAACTAAGATCCGCAGAAGGTGCTTTTGATCTGCTTCAAAACATCAAAAACATCAAATCGCGAGAATCTATCAACAAACAACTCATGGGGAAATGGTACGAGATTCTTGATCAATACACTCGTGAGGTAGACATCATTGATGAAATTTTCAAAAAACACAAGTAAGTTTCATTTTTGTAAATTGAACATTAGTCGTACAGTAATTTAATGCTATAGTGCAATGAATTAGGGACAATCCACCGTGTGCCAAAAATCAACCTCGTACTGCTGGTGCAATTGCTTGGAGTCATTCACTGTTCATTCGGATTAAAAAAACGATTGTGCGTTTTCAATCACTCCAAGGTTGGCTTGAATTGAAAATACTGCAAGTGATGTTTCAATAGGTTTTGATAAACTAACCCATGTTTATAGAAATGCTAACCTCTGAACAGGGTCGTGCAGTGACACGTAAATATCTCACTGTCGCAAAGTCGATGCGTGAATACGAAGAATCGGTATACAAATAACTGATGGTATTAAAAACCAACAAAAGTATGTATTTACTGACAAACTATTCTCAACATATTTTATTCAGCTTTACCATCAGTGGTGTTTTTCAGTAGAAGCCAACTCGCTACAGTATTTGAAAAACCACATTTTGATAAAAGCTTCATCATCAACTGTAGCTACACTGGATCAAAATAATGGATTTTTTCATACTGGAACAAATACTGTAGGAAATACATCAAATCTTCCTGAAAAAATCATTGTTAATTTTCGCCAGGAACTTCGCGATATCATCAAAGAAACCAAATATTTGGACACTATGAATTTCATGGTACCCGAGTCAGCTCTTAACGTCACTCTTCAAGTATGTTGTTGAATTTAGTTTTTTTAATTTCAGGCTGACTTTGACGCAGACACTTTGATTCAACTAGATTTATCGTATTTCTAACATTTTGCTTGAAGGAAGAAAAATATTATTCGCTTGTTGAGAATCTAGGATCAATGCTTAAAGCATATCATGCAGCGGTTGATCCATTAGATGTTTCAGAATTGAAACTTCTTCACATTCATTTGACAGAATTAAAACGTGTCATGAAACCTGGATTTACACGACTAAATTGGAACTCTCTTGGCATTCCAGAGTTTATTCAAAAATGCACGCTAGTAAGTTGATTCTTGTACTGGTATATTTAATTTACAATGCCAGCGCTTATAAACATCTTTTGATAATATAGGAAATCAACAAATTTTCATCACTAGTGAATCAGACACGTAAAAATTCGTTGAACATCAATCGCACTATTGATCAAATAGCGTCTGCTTTATTGATCAAGGAGCCTCGAAAAGATGAAATTATTGATGCACATGTAGGTTCAGTATAGTTTAATTTGGTTTGAAGATATTCTGGGTCAAGCCTATTGGCGTATCAATCAATGGTCATCAGAATATACCGAGTTTTCAAATAGCTTGAATTTTGACTTTTTTTACACTATACACGACTGTTTTATACAGGAATTCTTTGACTCGGTCAATACCCATCGAGCTCATGTAATGGAAACTCTGGTTGTCAAATACTTGGGAATTGGTCCTCTACTCATGAAAACAGAATCTCTTGTTGCCAACACCAATACTGGAAAAAGCAAAATTCTCAAGGACTATTATGCGTATTGGGAACAAAAGCTTTTTGCTGCAATTAATTTTGTAAATACTCATTTGTGGATTTGCATGGATAAACTCTACAATTTCAAATGCAAAATGCTTATCTAATCATGCTTTTACCTATTTAGATGGTTGTCAATAACTTGCACTATTTTGAAAGTTTATTATCGCCTGGAGGCATTTCAAAACACGGAAAGGGAAAGCTATCTGTTACATCCAAGTATTCCAAAGTAACTCGTGAGTTGCCCCTGTTTAGGGTGACTGCGTCGCTATCTGTACCAGAAATCACTATTTCTCCAATGTCTCAAGAAATCTACAAGATGATGATTAAATTTGTTCGGTCGATTGTGGACTCGTCCAAACAATTCCATCGATGGTTAAACGGATCTTGTATCATTGCGCCGCCACAAAAAATTGCAGATGAAGATTCGTTTATATTTAGTTTTCATTCTGATTTGGTTCAAAATCAAAGTGTCATTGCTCTTGTCAACAGCCTCAATACAACCATTAACAAGACGTTTGGTAGTTTACATAAATGGATTGATACTTGGCGCAAATATCGTCCATTATGGAAAGTGGACAAACTGGTTACGTTGGAAAAATTTGCTCAAAAAAAGCCATCTGTGGTAAACTATGATGACAAGCTTATGTTTTACGCCAAACTATCCAAGGACGTTGAAAGTCAGCCTTCTATCAAGGACATTGAGTTTATTCGTATCATTTCAACACCACTTCAAAAAGCCATCAATAGTGAGGCTATTGGTTGGGTGATGTCTATTGGCAAGTATTGGATTACATTTGAATTTCATTTTTTGAATTTCATTTAACAATTTATATTTGGTTTATTTAAATAGGAAGCCATTTGAATACTATTTGCAAAGATGGTTTGCAGCTGCTTCAAGAGCGGTTCAAGAGCTACGATCAAGACATTAGCAGAAATCCTCAAACATTGGATGATCTGACGTTTGTTCTTAATGTCATAGCCAATATTCGCAATGCATCTGAAGAAGTTGAGCTGCAATATCGTGATGTCATGGAGGCTTATCGAACACTCAAAATGTATCACATTGATGTGGATGAAGAAGAGTTTAATGCTTCCGAGGAGCTGCCTCGCAAATGGGAGGAAATGCTTGAACGCGCAAAACAGGTTGACAATGCACTTGTTCCTGTCAAAGCTAAATTCACTGAACAAACGCATAGCCAAGTGAGAGATTTTAAGCAGTCGCTTACTCGCTATAAAGAAGATTTTATAATGAATGGCCCTGGAGCAGTCAATCTTGATATGGATCACGGACTCAAACTACTAAAAGAGTCTAAAGAGGCAGTTGCTCGCTTTCTAGGTGGACGCGAAAGTCTTGTGCGTGCCGAAAAGCTTTTTAATTTGACCATCAGCAGCTATCCTGAATTGTATGAGGTGGAGAATCAGCTCAAAGAGCTTGACTTGATTTATACTCTTTATAGCGATGTAAAGGAAGCCATCAACTCGTGGTCAATGACGTTATGGAACAACCTGGACATTGGCATTTTAAACAGAGGTATTGAAAACTTTTCTTCCAGACTCAAAAAACTCCCAAAAGAGCTTAAGCAGCTTTCACCCTACAATGTCGTAGCTGAAAAGATTATTACTTTCAAAGAGTCTATTCCTTTATTTTCTGATTTGAAAAATGAGGCATTGAGAGATCGACATTGGAAGAAACTCATGGAAATCACCAAAAGGACATTTGATATGAATCCAGAGAGTTTTACACTAGAACGACTGTTTGCAATGAACTTGCACGAGCACACCGAAGCGATTGGCGAGATTGTTGGTGGAGCTATGAAGGAACTGAGTATTGAGAATGCCATCAAAGAAGTGGAAACCACTTGGAGAAACCTTAAATTCACCGTTGTAAAATACATGAAGGGTACTGAAGATCGTGGATACATTTTAGGTGTCATTGATGAGATCTCTACCACGCTTGATGACAATGCCATGTCGCTGCAGTCCATGGGTGCATCTCGATTTGTCACTGCTTTTTTACCAGCTGTGCAGCAATGGGAAAAAGTGCTTTCTCATATTGGCGAAGTCACAGAAATATGGATGGCCGTTCAGCGCAAGTGGATGTATTTAGAATCTATTTTTATTGGAGCAGGCGACATCAGAATGCAACTTCCTGAAGAGGCAGCACGATTTGATCGTATCGACAAGGCATTTAAAAAGCTAATGAGCGACACGGCAAAACACAACCTGGTTGTTGAAGCGTGCAATGCTGAAGGTCGATTGGAATTACTGCAAACTCTGTCAGACGATCTCGAGGGCTGCCAAAAATCATTGTCAGATTATCTTGAATCAAAACGTAATGCCTTTCCCCGATTTTTCTTCATCTCAGATGAAGAACTGCTATCTATTCTTGGTAGCCATGACCCCAAAAACGTCCAAGAGCATATTATCAAAATGTTTGACAATGTCTTTAAGCTTAATTTTGGAACCGACAAGCATCAAAAGTTTATTATGGGCATGTCATCATCCGAAGGCGAGGTTCTGAATTTTCGTTTCCCCATACCAATTGATGGTCGTGTAGAAGAATGGATGACTGCAGTGGAAGGTGAAATGAAACGATCTAATCGCACGATTCACAAGGAAGCTATTTTCAATTATGCAAACATGGAACGCATGCAGTGGCTGCAGACATATCAAGGTATGGCTGGCTTGGCCAGCTCACAAGTATGGTGGACATGGGAAGTTGAAGACGTTTTTAGCAAAATCAAGAGCGGCAACAAACTCGCAATGAAAAAGTATTCCAAGATTCTTGGGGATCAATTGGATATTTTGGTTGTGTCAGTACGCTCAGACCTATCATCGAATGACCGCAAGAAAATCAACGCACAGATTATTGTGGATGTACATGCCCGCGATATTGTCGAACGATTTGTGCGCGATTCTGTCATGAACAAAAACGAGTTTGAATGGGAATCTCAATTGAGATTCTACTGGGATCGATCAACCGATGAGCTCATTGTCAAGCAGTGCAATGGCGTATTTGACTACGGCTACGAATACATGGGCCTCAACGGAAGGCTTGTTATCACTCCGTTGACTGATCGCTGCTACTTGACACTCACTCAAGCATTATCCATGAAACTCGGAGGTTCTCCTGCAGGCCCTGCAGGTATGTAGAACTTGACTAGCTATACTGACATTGACCGTAATATATTTTTGGTTTGAGCAAGCCAGATTATTCATCAATATTACAATCATCTGCTTGTGTAAATATGATTTTAGGAACAGGAAAAACGGAAACTGTAAAGGATTTGGCCAAGGCTCTTGGAATCTTGTGCATGGTTACTAATTGTGGTGAAGGCATGGACTATCAAGCAATGGGAAAGATTTTTGCTGGTTTAGTGCAATGTGGTGCTTGGGGTTGCTTTGACGAGTTTAATCGAATTGAACTTGCAGTTTTGTCTGTGATTTCAGCTCAAATCAAAACCATCCAAAATGCACTTGTCATGAATTTAAAGCGATTCCAGTTTGAAGGAAACGAGATTGCTCTTGATCGCAAAACAGGAATATTCATCACCATGAACCCCGGGTATGCTGGACGCACCGAACTTCCTGACAACCTTAAAGCTCTTTTTCGCCCTGTTGTCATGGTAATCCCAGATTTGGAACTCATCAGTGAGATCATGTTGTTTTCAGAAGGTTTTACGCTTGCAAAGAATTTAGCCAAAAAAATGGTTGTATTGTACCGACTTGCCAAGGGCCAACTTTCAAAACAGCATCATTACGACTTTGGTCTTCGTGCACTCAAAAGTGTACTTGTAATGGCAGGTTCACTTAAACGCGGTTCGCCAGATCTTAGTGAGGATGTAGTGTTGATGCGTGCTCTTCGAGATATGAACCTGCCAAAGTTTGTTTTTGAAGACGTTCCTCTTTTTCTCGGATTGATTTCAGATCTATTTCCAGGACTTGACTGCCCTCGTGTGCAATACCCCAACTTTAACGATGCCGTGGAAGAAGTGCTAAAAGAAAGCCAGTACATCATTGTACCTGAGCAAGTTGATAAAGTCATACAGCTTTATGAGACCATGCTTACTAGACATACATCCATGATTGTTGGGCCATCTGGAGGTGGAAAAACAGTTGTGATGGAAACACTGGCTAAAGCTCAAACAAAGCTTGGGATTTCTACAAAGTTGTATGTTTTGAATGCAAAAGCCGTGACTGTTGCCGAACTTTATGGTGTTTTGGACTCGGTTACTCGTGATTGGACGGACGGTCTCCTCTCTAGCATTTTCCGTGAAGTGAATCGCCCAATTGGTGAAAAAAAAGAACGTCGGTTTATTGTGTTTGACGGTGATGTGGATGCTGTATGGGTTGAAAATATGAATTCGGTAATGGACGATAATCGATTATTGACTTTACCCAATGGAGAGCGTATTCGACTGCAAAAGCACGCTAGTCTGCTGTTTGAAGTTGGAGATTTACAATACGCCAGCCCAGCAACTGTGTCTCGATGTGGTATGGTATACATGGACCCTAAAAATCTGGGATATCGACCGTTTTATCAAAAATGGATCAATTCTAGATCCAACAAAGCTGAACAGGATACTCTCTTAAAATTATTCAGTAAATATGTGCCTACGCTAATGGAATGCATTATAGAAGGCTCATTTGAAGGCTTCATGGGAGAACCACTAAAACGAGTGATTCCAGTGACCCCACTCACCATGGTTTCTCAGCTCTGCGTACTACTTGAAACTCAGCTAGTGGCCGATGTCAAGCAATCTGTTCAAGATGCAATTGTTGAAAGTATTTTTATTCAATCTCTTGTTTGGTCGCTTGGAGCCACTGTTCTTGTTGATGATCGACTCCGTTTCTCTGATTGTCTTCGAAAGATTTCCGAGCTACCTCTGGTCAATACAAATGCATCTATCGTTCTTGGTCAACTGCCAGGAAACGAAAGGCTATTGCATGATTACTACTTTGATCTTGAAGAAAATCGATGGGTACCATGGACACATTATGTACCTGCATACGAGCATAAGCGTAACCTGGCATTTCACGAAATCCTTGTTCCAACTTTGGATACTGTTCGTCATACCTGGCTGCTTCAAAAATTGGTTACTCACAAAAAGCCTGTTTTGTTTGTTGGTGAAGTGGGTACATCAAAAACTGTGACCGTGCAGAATTATTTGCGACAGTTACCAACAGACAAGACACTTTTACTAAACATCAATTTTTCATCAAGAACCAATTCTTTGGATGTACAGCGCAATCTCGAAGCGAATGTTGAAAAAAGAACCAAGGATACGTATGGCCCTGCTGCAGGAAAGCGTCTTCTTGTGTTTATTGACGATATTAACATGCCTTCAAAGGATATTTATGGAACACAACAGCCTATTGCACTTCTCAAACTATTTCTTGAGCGCGGCGGTTTATACGATCGTGGAAAAGAGTTGAACTGGAAATATCTTAAAGATGTTCAATTGATTGGATCCATGGGAACTCCTGGCGGAGGTCGTAGTGATATTGATCCTCGCTTTGCCTCTCTTTTTGCAATTTTCAACATCACTTTTCCCAACGACTTTAGCTTGCTACACATTTATTCTAGCATCATTGAAGGACACACTACAATTTTCAACGACGACATCAAACAGGCAGTTTCCAAACTGACACCAATGACATTGAAGCTCTATAGTGACGTGTCCAAAAATCTGATGCCTACCCCAAGCAAGTTTCATTACATTTTCAACCTTCGCGATATTTCCAGGATATACGAAGGCATGCTAATGGCCACTTCAGACTTTTTTGACCATGGAAAGCAGTTTTGCCGAATGTGGTGTAATGAAGCTATGCGGGTGTTTTACGATCGACTTGTCACGGATGCTGACCGAAACTACGTGTCTAAACTGCTTAACCAGTTGGTTTTTGAAAACTTTGAAGCAGATCACGAGTACATTACAAAAAGTCCTATATTATTTGGTGACTTTCGTCACGCAATGCAAGAGGATGTTGCTCGATTATATGAAGATTTGCTAGATTTTACAGCTGTTCGATCAATTTTCTTGGAAATTCTTGAAGAGTACAACGAAACACACAATCGTATGAACTTGGTACTTTTTGAAGATGCGTTGGACCACCTCACACGAATTCACAGAGTAATTCGTATGAAACGAGGTCACGCATTGCTAGTTGGTATCGGTGGATCAGGAAAGCAATCTCTCACTCGACTTGCAGCATTTGCTGCTGGATACGGGGTATTTGAAATCACCTTGAGTCGAGGATTTGGCGAATTTGAATTTCGTGAAAACTTGAAGGCGCTATATGGACTACTAGGCTCTGGAAAAAAAACTGTGTTTATGTTTACGGATGCACATGTGGTGCAAGAAGGATTTTTAGAACTCATCAACAACATGCTCACCACGGGTATGGTTCCTGCTCTATATTCAGATGACGAAAAAGATGCCGTTGTTTCTTCAGTTGGTGAGGAAGTAGCACGACTAGGTTTACTGCAGACTCGAGAAGTCATGTGGCAGTATTTTGTCAACAAATGCTCCGACAACTTGCATATTGTGCTATGCATGTCACCACAGGGCAATAAACTCCGTGAACGATGTCGATCGTTCCCTGGACTAGTAAACAATACCATGATTGACTGGTTTCCTCCATGGCCTGAACAGGCACTATTTTCAGTTGCAGATGCTTTTCTCAAGGACGAGTTTATCTCTGCTGAAATTCGGCCTTCCATTGTCGCGCATGTAGTTGGTGTTCACCAGTCTGTTTCGGAATATAGCGCCGAATTCCTTTTAAAATACCGCCGAACCAACTATGTGACACCAAAAAATTATCTAGACTATATCAACACATACAATCGACTGCTTGAAGAAAACCGTGAGCTTAATGGTCGACTATGTGGTCGACTAGAATCTGGTCTTGGAAAACTCGAAGAGTCTTCACAGCAATTGGATGTACTCAACAAACAGCTTGCAGAACAAAATATTGCTGTTAGAAACAAAACCGAAGCATGCAGTCGCCTTCTCGAAGTTATCACAACAAATACAAAGACGGCAGAAGAAAAAAAGACACTGGCCGAAAAAAAGGAAACCGAATTAGACGCACAAACTGTTCAGATTGTCAAGGACAAAGAAGAGGCCGAGGTTGCACTTGCAGAGGCGCTTCCAGCTCTAGAGGAAGCTCGATTGGCTTTAGCAAATCTGTCATCGTCTGAAATTACCGAGATTCGATCGTTTGCAAAACCACCCAAAGAAGTTCAAAAAGTATGCGAGTGCATTTGTGTGATCAAGGGAATCAAGGATGTTTCATGGAAAAGTGCAAAAACAATGATGTCTCAAACAGATTTCAAGTCATCACTATCTTTACTAGATGTAGATGGTATTTCAAGCAACCAGATCAAGCTTGTCAAAAACATTTTACGTGAAATGGATGTATCTGTGTCTCGCATGTTAGAAATCTCATCTGCTGGTGCAGGTCTACTGAAATTTGTTTTGGCCGTGGTTGGATATTGTAATGTAGCTAAGCAGATTGCTCCCAAGCGTGCAGCTGTGGCCTCACTAGAGAAAAATCTTGCTTTTTCTAAACACGAGTTTGATAAGATCACCAAAGAACTTCGACGATTGAGTGAAGAGTTGAGCGCGCTTCAAATCCAATTTCACACAGCCAAAGTAGAGCAATTGGAATTGAAACAAATGGCTGAAGTGATGGAACGTCGATTGCTTGCTGCTGATAAACTCATTTCTGGTCTGGGCTCTGAAAGAATTCGATGGGCAAGGGATTTGGAACTATTGCGAGAGCAGCGAATACAGTTGCTTGGAGATTGCATGGTTGTGTCTGGATTTCTTAGTTACACTGGTGCGTTCAACTGGGAACTGCGTAATGAATTAATTTACAAAAAATGGGTACAGGATCTCCAGTCGCGAAATGTTCCATTGAGTACAGAGTTTCGAGTTGAAAAAATTCTAGCAACTGAGATTGAAATGAGCCAGTGGGCACAGGAAGGACTTCCTGCAGACGAACTATCAATACAAAATGGTATTCTTACCACCAAGGCTTCGCGATTTCCTCTTTGCATTGATCCACAGCAGCAAGCTCTTGGATGGATCAAGCGCCGCGAAGCTGGAAATAACCTCAAGATATCCACATTTAATGATCCCGACTTTTTAAAACACCTTGAAATGGCAATTACGTATGGGTTTCCGTTTTTGTTTGAGGATGTTGATGAATACATTGATCCTGTCATTGACAATCTTTTGGAAAAAAATATCCGTACAAACGGATCGCGGCGTTTCATTGTACTTGGAGATAAAGAGGTTGATTACGATCCCAATTTCCGTCTTTATCTAACATCTAGACTGACCAATCCAACATATACTCCCAAAGTATTTGGCTCTGCTATGATCATCAACTATAGTGTAACATTCAAGGGTTTGAGTGATCAACTTCTTATTGTCGTGGTAGCCCACGAGCGCAAGGAGCTTGAAGAGCAGCGTGAAAGATTGGTTACTGAAATGAGCCAAAACAAGAGTTTGCTCAAAGATTTAGAGGATACATTGCTGAGAGAGCTAGCTTCTTCTACAGGTAAATTTTAGTGAATTTAAACTAGCATAGAATATTTTTTTAATTTGTTTCGATCCAACTACTATAAAATATAAATAGGTCTCATGCTGGATAATGTTGAACTCATTCAAACACTTGAGGAAACCAAATCAAAAGCCACCGAGATTGCTTCCAAACTTGTTTTGGCTAATCAAACTTCTACAGAGGTGGAAGCATCTAGAGATGCCTATCGTCTTGTAGCCAAGTGCGGTGCTGTTTTATTTTTTGTGCTTGCTGAACTATCCACCATTAATCCCATGTACGAGTATTCATTGTCAGCATTTCTTGAAGTATTCATGGGTTCTCTACACAAGAGCAAGCCCGATCCATCACTGCCCAAAAGACTGTTAAAGATCACAGACACACTCAAATACTCAGTGTACAATTACGCATGTACTGGGCTATTTGAAAAGCATAAATTGATGTTTTCATTTCAAATGACGATAAAATTAATGGAGGCTGACGATCTTTTGGATCCTGTTGAAATCAATTTCTTTTTAAAAGGAGATATTTCACTAGAGCAACCAATCATTAAAAATCCATTTTCATGGACTTTTGATCAAGGCTGGAAAGATTTGTTGAAATTGTCTACATTAAACTCAAATTTTGGTATGCTTCCCGAGCATGTGCGCGACAATGAGCTAGTTTGGAAAACATGGGCAAAACTGGATGCTCCTGAATCCGAGCCACTTCCAATGGGATACTCTGAGCGGCTAACATCTTTTCAAAAGCTATGCTTACTCAGATGCTTTCGGATAGATCGGGTTTATAACGCAATCACTACATTTGTCATTCAGAATATAGGTGAGAAATACGTGATGCCGCCAGTCATCAACTATAGCAATATCTTTGACCAGTCTACACCAACAAGTCCGGTTATATTCATTTTGAGTCCAGGAGCAGATCCCCAAAACGATTTGCAAAAACTGGCAGAAACTCTTGGTTTTGGCGGAAATCGATTAAAGTTTCTCTCGCTTGGGCAAGGACAAGCACCCATTGCGCTACAACTTTTGGAAACAGCAGTTACTCGAGGTCAATGGCTGATGCTTCAAAATTGTCATTTGCTTGTTGTATGGCTTCGTGTTCTTGAAAAAGTACTTGAAAAAATCACAAAACCACACAAGGATTTTAGACTGTGGTTAACTACCGAACCAACTCCCGCCTTTCCTATTGGAATTCTTCAAAAATCGCTTAAAGTAGTTACTGAACCACCCAACGGACTTAAGTTGAACCTCCGTAGCAGTTATTATAAACTAAACGAGGAGATGTTGGCGGATTGTTATCACGAATCATTTCGTCCACTGGTATATGTTTTGGCCTTTTTCCATGCAGTTGTCCAAGAGCGTGGCAAGTATGGTAAAATTGGCTGGAACGTCAAGTACGATTTCAACGAATCTGACTTTAGAGTCTCGAGTACTATCATGAAAACATATCTCAACAAAACAGCAGAAACCAAAGATGGAAAAATCCCATGGACCACATTGAGATATCTTATTGGTGAAACTATTTATGGTGGGAGGGTTACTGACGACTATGATAGACGTGTGTTGATGACTTACCTAGACGAATATCTTGGCGACTTTTTATTTGATTCCTTCCAACCGTTCTACTTTTTCGCAAATTCACATGTGCAATACAAAGTGCCCATGTGGGGATCCCGAGATGACTACATGACATATATTGATGGACTCCCATTAGCTAATGCACCAGATGTGTTTGGGTTGCATTCAGATGCAGAAATTGGATATCTAACTAGTGCTGTAAAGGATATGTGGTCACAACTTATTTCTCTACAACCACGAACATCTGACAGAGCTGGTGGTATAAGTCGCGAAGAGTTTATTGCCAGTATTTCGTCAGATATTCAAAATAAGCTTCCAACTATTTTTGATACTGCACGTATATACAAAACAATAGGAACACCCTCTCCTACCCAAGTTGTTTTGTTGCAGGAGTTGGAGCGCTGGAATATTCTTGTTGAGCACATGTCATCATCATTAAAAGATCTTCAGCGTGCACTCAAGGGAGAAATTGGAATGAGTACCAAGTTGGATGAGCTCTCAAACTCGTTGTTCAATGGAGCATTGCCGCCTATGTGGCGACTATTAGCACCACAGACCGAAAAGGGTCTTGGATCATGGATGCTGCATTTTGAGCGCAGATACCAACAATATTCTTCCTGGATCAAAAACGGCGAGCCGGTAGTTATATGGCTTTCAGGACTGCATGTTCCAGAAGCGTACATTACTGCATTAGTACAAACGACATGCCGTAAAAATGGATGGCCGCTAGATCGGTCGACACTTTACACGCAAGTTACTTGCCACGTAGATCCCAAAGAAATCACGGAGCGACCCCTTTCTGGTTGCTACGTTCAGGGGTTGTATTTGGAGGGAGCCGGATGGGATACCAAGTCAAACAGTATTGTGCGCCTAGAGAATGGAGGACGCTTAATTCAAGATCTTCCTATTTTACGAATCATTCCCATTGAAGCGCATCGGTTAAAGCTTGTGAATACATTCCGCACACCTGTTTACACGACCCAACAGCGACGCAATGCAAGTGGTGTTGGATGGGTATTTGATGCCGATCTAAGTACCAACGATCATTCAAGTCATTGGGTTTTGCAAGGAGTTTGTTTGCTTTTGAATACAGATTAAAGAGTATAAATACAGAAGATAATTTTCATCAAACTGGTTTTGAATGACACGACTAAAGATAAACACTATTGCTTGATAATAAATGTGCGAGTTTGAGATTTACTCGGATAATACTAGTATGACATTCATGATGGTTTGTTGTGAAACTTGACATGCAGCCAATATTGAAGAAATCACATGTAAAACAATAAGCAGAAGCCAGAGTGCATTGGTCGTGTTGGGGTGGAGTTGAATAATAAAATCCATGACAGCAGACAACTCTGCCCGTCACTGTTATCTACCAATATTATCTGCAATTATTCGAGTATGAGCACTATTCACTGTTTTTTTTGTGGTGGTAAAGAATGCAAGTATGAGAATTGGCGGTTATGGACTACCGAGAAATATGTGGGAGTAAATGCCATTGATGGACTATTCTGTAACTGGTATGGCTTGATGGCTATTTTCAGATGAAAAACTCGACAATTGCCGCATATCTTGGAATATACTAATTGGATCGAATTCGGGTTTACAGGATCACTGATAATATCCTAGCAATGCAGCGACCATCTACTCGACTCATGAAAGAGTATGGGTTGATATCCAAGTTTCAGGAACTTGATATCAGATCGATATTCAATCTTCAAGAATCTGGCGAACATGCCATGTGTGGCGATGGCAACGAAATACAAAGCGGATTCTCTTACTTGCCAGAGAATTGGATGGACAATGCAAGTAAGTGTATCTTGACTTGTCCTATAGTCAGCATCATAATTATCTTTGGTTCCAAAACACTCTAGCTAACGATGCATTTTTATCTAGTATTCTACTACAATTTTGGATGGTATTCATAATATTCGCGCCAACTTTATTCATTTAATATGTAAATCCAAGCCATGCATTAACTATTAATCTCATATATAGGACCGATATGGAAACACCAGATTGCGAAACAATGATGAATATAGTTCAGGTTATGGCATATGCTTTGAGTAACGGCAGCAAGGTAATTTTATTGCGTTTGGATATCCTAGAGCCGTATTCACGTAGAATATAACTTGCATTGATCTTGCAGTGTACTCCTGTTCAAAACACACCATCAATTATATAATGCACACACAAACTATAGTTTTTTTGATTCTCTCAATACAAATGCAACTCTACATGCCAATCACTCAATATTTGGGTTGGAAAGTTGTAGATTGAACAAGTGATGTACTGAAACTACACCATGTGTTCAGTTATTATTCAGTGCTCCACTTTACGTGAATACGGCTGTAAATGCAGCATGAAATAGTCAGTCCAAAAACTGTCCATGTGTTTAAACGATTGATACAACTTGATTATGTTTTATCTAACCTATACATGTTTTGCAGATTGCAGTGCATTGCCACGCAGGACTTGGTAGGTCTGAATGCTAAGTCGCCGCTGTTTACAATATCAACTTCTAACGGCGTCCTTTTCCTACCTATTAGGTCGTACCGGCCTATCCATTGCATGCTATTTGGTTTATGGAGAAAATATGCCTGCAGAAACGGTAATTTGATTTACTTTGGCTATGGCATCTATGCATTTATGCATCATTAATCAACTCTATCTTTGTAGGCAATCTTGCAAGTACGATCAAAAAGGTATGTTTACTGAAAGTGTTTTATAGAAACTAAATAGTAAGCTGATCAATATTGTATAGACCTTTATCTGTACAAACCAAAAAGCAAGTCCTTTTTGTCACAAAATTTGAACTATATCTAAGAAAGTTGAGACTAGTGTTTCCCGCCTGCTCAGTCAAATCAAAAACACACGCAACTGTTGTTGAATCTCTATCACTAGCGAGTATTGTTCAATCACAAAAAAAGTATCTTCATGGTGTGGAGCAAAGAAATTTAAGATTTGTTCCCAAGGTCAGATATGAATCTTTATTCGAATTTATTAATACACTACAATGATGTGTTGGATTTCTAACCCTATATAGTGACTATACTAAAATTTCATATTGTTTAGCTTATCTATAGAGTTATTGAGAGAATAATCCGATTATGTACATTAAAGGTCGACAAATTGCAAGAAAACACTCAGATTGTTGTTTGTTCAATTTTGGCGTTCGAGGGACTGTCCAAGTTGGAACCAAAAATGATTGCTTTCCAAGTAAGCAGGTTTTGTTTTAGATTGATGCTGATTTGTAAAAAACCAACATTTTTGGTGTCGTGTTGCATTTAAATTTAAATAGGCAGATATCAATGATGGGTCATGGGGCATCATTGATAACGAGTTTGATATTGCATTTTTGATGAATCTGATGTTGTACTTTATTACGTCGCTATCTACTCCAATCATTTCAAATTCTGTCATGAGTATTCTGGAGCATAACGTGGCTGATTTGGCAAACATAGTAGCTGATTTTGACTGCGTTGCCTTTCAAACTTTAAATTACATGATGTCGCTATTCAGAAGGGTAAGTAGATATGCTAGTTGTTTGATCCACAATACTTTGCAACTTTTATAAAACCATAATACCATTTGAGCTCATATCTTTAAATGCAACATGTAGTTACCAAATATTCCAGCAGATACATTGAGTGAATTGTTGGAGCGTATTGCTATTTTGATTTCATCTCATCGTAGCACCATTGCATACCCTTATGTGCACTGGATGAAATCCCCAATATCCGCTGCTAAAATACCACCAAAAGGAAACAACTCCAACTTGAAAACATTTCAAGCATCTAGTCTCATGGTCAGAGATGCCATTGGCTCGTCGACACTTGCAGCAAATGCTTTTACACAATCCATGTCAAGAGCGTTTCAAAAGTCGATCATTTCCGGAAACGCAACACCGTCCGTGTCAAAAACGCTCTATCCTGACCAAAAATCAGAAAGTACAAGTACTCAATTGTCACCATCTATACAAAATCATGCTGTTAATAACACATTATCCGATGTTTCCGAAAGCAACGCATCAATCAACGATTCTATTTCAATACATATTGACTCTTTAGACGAGCTTTCCGAGTCGAGTATTCGGAAAAATATTCCGGCCCCACCTGAACAGCGACCTACTTCGATAGACAGCGTTTCAATGGTTGAATCAAGCACACTTGGTCCATCACCCGCACCAGCCAGCACAAACATTGTTCAAACTCAGGATCGCTACGTTAAAGTTGAAGAAGAGGAACCTTGTTCTTCATGCAAGCCATTGGTAGAATGGCTTAAATTTATACATCAGAATTACGATTGTGCTGACGAGACTCGAGCTGTGTTGGCCGAATCTCTGGTTTTTTCGCATCCTGGGTCACCTACATTGAATATTGTGGAACTCATTTTGCAACCCGGATTTGATTCTCATACTAATCTGGCAAAAATGAATGCTCCCAAAGTATCGGCTGAAGACGGTGACTCTACGATTCTTAAACGGGCTACAAGTTATGTTACCACCACTCTTTCTGGCTTGAACACCATGACTGGATTAAGAAGCGCGAACTCGGCAGTGCTTGGTTCAACTACACATTCTCTAAATAGTGCCGATACAGCGAATAAAGAAGGTATGCCACCTGACCTTCAAGAGACGAATAGAGATACTTTGTCCATCACAAAAACTACATTGTCGAGCTTTGCACCAATGATGATGTCTTTTGGAAGAAGCATCACAGGATCATCATCTGAGCCAAGTGAGCTTCAAAAGTCTGAACATTCCGAGGAACCCGCTACCAATGTAAAATGTAAGTCAATTTGCTCATCTATTGCGGTGTAATGACACCATCAGCAAACGATTCACCATGAACCGTCGTTTGGTTTCCAATATATATTGGCAGTAGCAGCCGAACGATCATCAAACAAGACTAACATTGAAGCACTAATGAATGATACTCGAAAGAAAATGGGTCGATATATGCAAGGTTTTTCCGAGATTCGAGACGTATCTCAGTCACCGAGTAAGCTTGGCAAGCCAATGGTCCATGACAAAACACCCCTTGTCAAATCTCTGCCTACCATTTCATCACCTCGAACAACAGGCACTCCTTTTCTTCAACCCATTGAACCCTTTTTGCCTTTTGAATTCAGTACTCTAGACTTGACGATACCCCCTCTACACGAAGAAACGAATACGGTGTCCGCACAGTATGGGAAATGCATTGCAAATAAATAGTGTTGCATTGTTTTCAGTTGAGCATATTGATTCACTGCAATATTGAAATATGTACTCGCCATATATCTGATAATGTGCACTATCAAGAAAACATTGCAGCAACAAATGTTATTTAATGTCCTGAAATAGTGACTGAATCCATCTAAAAAACCACCACATGACATTTCCATATTCGTTGATTTAGTATGATAATAGTCAAACATCATTGTTGTCAAGATGAGAATTATAAGGTAAGCACATTGTTTAAATCTGTCTTGATAGTTTAAATTTGTGTTTTGCAATCTTTTCCACATACATTTATTCTTTTCGAGTGTAGTAAAATAATAGTTTAATGTCATCTAGAGTTCGCCATACCAAAATACCACCAGATACATCCGCATCAACTAGATCTAGTCTTCTTGAAAGTACCACATCTGGCATATCAAGTGTGCAGCATAACAAAACCATTGGTTCTGCTCTAGAAGGCACTGAAGGGCGTCCAAGTTATGCTTCTACTGCATCCTCTGACCCACAGGAAAAGGACGTTCCATTTGCTATAGTAGACACTCCTGCTTCACAAAAGCCAATTATTGATATACAGCAGATGGGACAAGCGCCTAATCAAACATTTTACCAACTGGTAGTGTTTCCTACGGACCTTGCCTTTTCATCGACAGATGCCGAGGACAACAGTATTTCATCCAAACCTGGCTCAAACCCTATTGGTGGTGTAACCAAAAAACGCGTCCAGGCATCGTCTGAAGCCCAACGACTTGCTTCCACCAACTCGAGTGTTCAGCGTAAAGGTGGAGTGGTGTTGCGAGATTGGCCACGAAAAAGAATTTCGCAAAACTGGAATAGAAGTGGGATGCTTAATCCAGGTCAGCGTGTATTTTCTTACAAGGAGTTTTTAAGCGGTGAACTAAAAGATGAAGTGATTGCTATTTTTGGTCGGGATCAATACCAAGTGGTGGTGAACAAGATAAAGGAAGTGACACACGAAAAGTAAATAAAAGGATGGTTTTAGTGTCATTTGATTTATTTTTGAATTTAAATGATATCAAACTAAGTTTTGATGTTTATGCCCAGCATGCAGTTGTAAAGGTTAAAAGGGTTAACAAGCAGAATCAGTTTATAGTTACACCAATCAACGTCAAGACACTTACAAAATAATCCAAACCCTGTCCAAGTTCCCAAATTGCAACTCCAGTTCCAGAGTTGGACGCAAGTGAAAGTCGATCGTGAAACGACTAGAAATGTGTTTATACACCATATTAGATTGAAATAATTGGCATGATTACAACGTACTCGCATAAAATAACAACTTGAATAAAAAGTAAATATTAAGCTTACTTTAAGAGTGGGATAATACACCGAGTGTTTATGGTTAGCATCGTCTGTGTAGGTAAAGTGATGCTCGTGAGATTGTGAATCCCATTGCAGTATAACATTTTTTTCCTTTAGGAGTGAAATGTATTTAGAACCAACAAGAGGTTCCGAGTTGAATGTGACATGATCAAAGTCATATCCGTACATATTTGACCCAGTTAGCAGTTTTGATCGAAGTGTCTTGTCAGGACACAATCTGCGTATATTTTCTTCAATCCAACCTATTGGGGAATTTGGACCATTGCCTTTAGATTGCGAGTAGTCATATGTCATTAATGAGAAATAATCGACAAATGACACCAGATTCGTGAAATCGTTGGCATCAAATACGTCGCTATCCATATGTATATGACGGGGTGGAATGACTAGTATGAGCTGTTTGTTTAGTTTAGTCAGATCCAAATAGAGTTGTTTGATAATATGCACAATGTAGCGTCCAGGTACGGACATTTCAATGACCAGACCATCAAAGCCATGCAGCCTAATGCCGAGATGAATAGAAATCATTGTCAAGATACAAGTTTGAATTCCAGCCATGACAGTGTAAATACGTAAATGTTGGACAAGATTAGACTGAATGCTACTTACATGACTTCTTTAGTCAAGACAGATAGCAGGTTTTTAGTAACAGACAAGTCTTGGATGAGAGCCATCCAGTCTGTTTGAGTGAATTCTGATACTTGAAACAATGGTAATACCAAGGCACGTTTTCCTTGACGATCGGGTTGACGAACTTGGTTCATCCATTGCTGATCGACATCATGAGCACCATCCAGTATAAACTTTCCATTTAGACGCTTAATACGATACCAAAGCGGTGCAATATGAGTAAACTTTCCTAGAAACATCTTTGATATATCGTAACCACGACTATTCCAAGGAGTGACATAACCCAACACAGCGTTAAACGGTCTTAATCGATGACCAGCATTGACAGTCGAGTAGATGTCATGATTTTCAAGAATACTGTCGACTGTCAGAGTATCACTCACCCAATCTCTCTCCAAAACACTATTCATAGATGGCATCTGAGAACTCATTTCCAGCAATCCACCAAAGATCTGTTCATTATCCAAAACCACCAACTGTGCAACGGATACTGAACACAGACATACTTGAAGAAAGAGTATGATTGTATCTTGAATAAGAATCCCAAACCCTTTCATGAACTGAAATTGTACGATAGTTGCAAATGTCAGTCTTGGAATAACAAAATCTATTCAACAATTGAATATTATACTATTTGAATGAATGTTCAAGACGGTGAATGCAGTCATGAATTTATTCAAATGTCCAAGATTCGATTGCTGCAAGAACAGTTTGAACAACACTTTCTAGTCCAATCAGATCTGCATTGTCAAAGCCTTGCAAGACAGTTGAATCCAGATCCAAAACACCCAGCAAACGACCATCAGCATGCACCAAGGGTAACACCAACTCACTCTTTGACAATGAATCGCAAGCGATATGACCTGAAAACTCGTCAACGTTGGCAACTAGAATAGGACGACGTTCAATGGCACATGTTCCACACACACCTTTTCCGATATGGATCATTGTACAAGCAATGCGACCATGAAAAGGACCGAGTACCAATGTATGTGGCTTTTTTAAAGTAGCCAAGTAGAAGCCAACCCAGTTGATAGGACGATTGATTGTTTTATCATGAAAAGCCCAGTAAAGCAATGATGCCAGATTGGATAAATTTGAAACAAGAGGAAGTGAAGGATCCACTAAAGCAGCAGCTTGTTCTTCAAGTGAAGAATAGAATTCTGATTTCTCAGTAGAATAACCTGAAGCAACCTGTAATACCATCAATGAAATAGTCGAGTTTTTATCAAGACAATTCAAGATAAAAATGTGATATTTTAAAAGTATTTTAATATCAAGTCGAGAGCAGTTTTTGGAATTCTCAAACCAGATGTTGGCGACAAGTCAGATTGTAACAAGACACGATCAATGATGATCAATATTCTCAAGAGTTTCTAGTTCAAGTCTAGTTTATTACAATAAATGTTGAATAGAAATAGATCGAGTCTTTATATGAAATATCAAGTTACTCGGACTGCACACAACTCGATTTACAAGCAATATTCATCTATAGCGTATAGAATCAATCCGATTCATTACACTTTGAGAACCATTTCAATTATATAGTTTATACATGCAGATTGTTGGGCCAATTGTGTTTCTGACTACAGGACTGGCATTTATATCACTGCTGGTCTCTCTGCATGAACCTGTTCATCCTATTGCTACCACTGTCACTCTGATAGATATCAAAGCTGCTCTTCCATCTGATTCGTTGTCTTCATTAGACAAGTCTTATCATGTCGGTCTCATGCCTTCACTCAATCGATCTTTGTTACTGTGGTCGTTATCTCAAGGAGATGATATTCGAAATCCTAAAAGTAAACTCATTCAACCCCATTTACATATATTCTTCCATTTCATGTTGATCCATTGTGTATGTGTTTGAAAATACTACTTGAATGTCTAGGTCGACTTATTTCACAACGTTTGTTCCTTGACCAATTCGTCAAGACTGCTCCACAAAAACTATTCTCTATTCAAAACCATCAGCTTATAGACTTGCAAAATATTCATGTCATCACCAACGATACATTCAACGAATCTACAAAGTATATTTTAACTGATGATGCTGGATCTCATCTTCCAACCATCACACTTGTCACAAATACTGTGCATGAAGAGGAGTCTGTGTAAGTTTGTATTTAAACATCAGATTCTGTTTATCTGATGCTGATTGATTGCAATGTTTAATCTTTACTAGTTATTATGCGCGAGTTTATGCTATAGAAACCCCATCCAATTCTGGTAAGTTGGATGTCAGGATTGCTCGGTTTGGTTTTGTCAATATTCTAGATCTTATCTCGCGATCGCTATAGTGTCATTCTAAACACATTCAAACCAATTTGAATTAGATCCAGGATCTTATAAATTTGTTCAAGCTCAGGTTCCTGGAAGTTTGACCTTTTCTCGACTATCCTATGGAGTTCCACATAGACTGGTATACTCACGAAAAAGCGATGCTCGTCTTTTTCGCATCATTGATAATCTAGTCCCACTCAGTACTCCTAGAGCACAGATTAATAAAAGTGATGATGTATTAAAGTCCCCGTCTGTGCCGTTCAAATCACTTCCAGGACCTTTATTCGGTAGGTTTAATCTACAACTGTTTGCTTGGTTGTACTAGCTTATTGACTTTAATCATGCATTTACCGTGTTCTTTGTACATTACTATCTACTTGCCTATGTAGAAACATTTCCTGGACGTATACTAAGCATTGTACCACTATTTACTAAAAAGTAGGTCAAACTCGCCATTGTTTTGGCTCTTTATTTGTATGGCGTCTACTTACCTTGTATCAGTTCTTTAGAAACGCTTATATTTATCTTCCAGTACAAATCCCTTCCAAACACCAAACTATTTAAAATTCACATTTCACTGTTTCATTGTCTGCAAGGTTTGTTTATTATTCAATTTAAATATAACATACTTGATCATTGCGTTTTTAAAAGTAATCCACTGATCTTTTACTAACCATGTGTTTAGGCGGTGAATGGGAAAAAAGAATTTTATGGGAGGTAAGAAACACTACATGTTTAAACAATAGATTATCAGAATGTTGATAGGCGTTCAAGCCTTATGTCTGGCATAGTTTAAACATAACCAACAACTCTATACCTAATTATAATATTTAGAAAGACTGGCATGGCTTGGGAGAAGACACCATTGCAGCCGATGAATTACATCTCCTGTATTTTTTAACTGATCCTGTTGTAGTAACCTCGAGGTTTTCCAAAGTAGTTTCGTTTGTATTTATGAAGCAGATATTTACACTAGACTATGTGGGCGATGACACAGAAAAACAGTTTGATGGGCCTAACCTAGCTTTTGACTATGTGCTGTCTTGGCAAAAGATTCACTTACTGTCTGGATCTGAGATGGAGATCAATAATATGCATATTGATACTTTTGGACGAACACTGGTTTTATCAAACAAGGTATTTTGGTTTGGTTTTTGCATCACGACTTTAAACTAGGTTTGCACGATTTGCATGGGTTTAATCAAACTGGTTTTGAATTGGTTAGCGAAATCAAGTATTTATTTTGAAGCGCGCTTTAAAGACCAAACCTATTGACCAGTTTCATACAGATCCAGTTAATGCTGAACAGGAAATGGATCATGCTACGAACCCAAACCAAAAACTACACGAATCAACTGAAGGCTCTCAGAAAATTGCTCTGCAGTCAAATACTATACTTTCGCAGATTGGTGGTTATGTTGATTTATTTTTAAGCTCGCCTGAAGTATCTCAATTTTTTATGGAAATGTTTTGGGATCAATCCATTGCAGATTTGATTGATGATTCCCACGATAATATCTCGTCTCCATTGTTTGGGGAGTGGGAATTAAAGGGCTATTGGAATTCTGCAGACTATGCTTATCAAGCACCAGTAAGTTGTTTTGGATTATTTATATGGTTTGATATTGTTCAAAGCAATACTAATTTTACTTTTAGACAACTATAGAAGCTGTCACGCTTTTAGAATCAACGGATCACGACTTTGTGATAGTATTGTTGGGCAAAAGCCATATAGCTGTTCTTGACTATGATCGTGTCTACAAGGGACGACATATCACGCAGTTTATTAGACGGCACGCTATTCTTGTGATGGCTCTCGTTTTTATTACTGCAATGTTTAGCATCAACGAGTTTAGGTAATACACTGTTTATTCCTTTGGTAAAAATACCGAGTTTTATAGTACTGATACCATGTTGATCTCTTGAAATTGATTTAAACCGTGCAACTTAGGCCGGATCTAGTTCCTAGATCAAATGGGATTTTTATCACGATGCTATATTTGCTACTATTCTCTGTAATTTTGAGTGTTATGGTTGAAGAAATATAACAAGCTGGTTTAGATAAAGTATCAAAATGTATGCCCCATATCTGTCCAATTCGTGATGCACTCGAACACGCTGGTCTCAGTGAGGGCAAGCAGTAATTTTCCCTTGTATTTGACTACTGATAGATCTAGTTCCATGAAATTCAGATCAGGATCTACCAGTACACCACAATTTAGTAAATTGAAATGGTTCAAGGGGTTTGCTATTCAGACTCGTAGCAATAAGTGAAATGGTGATTGTGCAAATCATTTCACCAACAGTATATCAATGAAGTTGGACTTGAACTGTCTTGCTTGATGGGTATACTGTTGCAACCGTATTCACGTAAAGTGAAGCACAATGACATTGAACACATGTTGCAGTACATCACTTGTTCAATCTACAACTTTCCAAACCAACCATTGAGTGATTGGCATGTAGAGTTGCATTCATGATATGTACAATCTTGGTTTCTTGAATACAAACGTATCCAATCTTTTAGGATACAACAATGATAAGTGTGTGCCATGGTCGATCTAGATTCATTTGTTGTGAACAAGTACACTTTTCCAATAACAAAACAATGCCAAGATGTGATTTAGTAGAGTTTTCTAGAGATTCACACATCCTCAAAGTTCTTTTTGCTTGCCACAACGTCCAAGAATAGTGTTATTGATGGACTTGAAAGTGTTTGTTGCATACTTGCTTGACTGTAAGACCATCACATCTTAACCTGTTGAAACCAAGAGCGTTTTCAATAACCTCATTGTCCAGTAACAGACGAGGTAAAATCCAGTGTCGTCTTGTCATTGGTGTTCAAGGTTTGGATAAACAAGCGTCTTTGTCTTGGTTTGTAAAACATATTCTAAGCTTGGTGACCGACAGTGTTCTGTGTTACCGCATTCTATGCAAACCATTCGCTTTTGTCAGATTCAAAATTGGGAAAGTTTTCAACATCTTTTTTTTATACTAAAATGAAATGTTCCGAATTGTAAATCAAATTGACAAATCAAAAACGATCAACACTTCCAGTCTTGAATTTTTAGATTGCAATGAACATGATTTTTTACAAGACAGAATAACAGGATTAAAATATCAGTTTAAAACTATAGTTTGTAATCATATGATGATCAGTGTGTTTTCAGACACTCGAGAGTTTCTATAAAAGAAACAATCTACAAAAGTGTTTCGTTTTACGTGAATACGGCTGTAATTTATTGAGCAAAGGCACACCAATAAAATGTGATTTGAAAACTTGTTTCCAGTAGTATTGATCAGCAAACTAGTTTGAAATGACAATTCATACTTAGTAGTAATGAATCTCATCTGGAGTGCGTCCACGAAGATACTCTGGTTCAGTACCCTTTGCATACACATCGGTAAATAATTCTGACATATCAGGCTCAGGAGAAGCCTTGGACTCCTCAACGGCTTGATCAATTTCGGCTCTTGCCTTTTTCTCAATGGCCTTTAGTTCATCTTCTGTTGCAGAATTTGTTGAAAGAATCTTTTCTTTGAGCAAGTTGATACAATCACTTGTAGATCGCATGCGCTGAATTTCTTCACGTGTGCGGTAGGTAGTTCCAGGATCAGACATGGAATGACCACCATAACGATATGTGACCATTTCAAGAACAATAGGGCCCTTGGCTTGTGTTACTGTCCAATCACGAGCATATCTGCATGCTTCACGAACAGCTAGAACATCCATACCATCAACACGAACACCTGGAACATAGTCTCCACGAGTAAAGTATTTTGTGGAAGCAGCGGCACGCCCAGCAGGAGTACCCATACCATACATATTGTTTTCACATACAAATGCTACGGGAAGATTCCATAGTTTGGCCATATTGTATGCCTCAAAGACTTGACCTTGATTGGCAGCACCATCTCCGTACATGGAGAAACACATTGCATCTTTTTTTTGGTATTGATGTGCCAATGCAATACCGGCACCAACAGGAACCTGAGTTTAAAATCTGTTAATCTTGATTGTATTGGTATTCATGAAAACAAGCTATTACCTGTGCACCAACAATGCCGTTTCCACCATAGAACTCGGGAGCAAACAAGTGCATCGAACCGCCTTTTCCTTTTGATGATCCAGCTCGACGACCCATAAGCTCGGAAATGATTTCAGTAGGTGTGCCGCCACGGTTCATAGTAAATCCATGACAGCGGTATGCAGTGATGATTGAATCGGCTTTTGTGATTGCAGCTTCCATACCAGAAGCAATAGCTTCTTGACCAGTAGAAAGATGACAGAATCCTCGGATCAACTTTCCCTTGTATGCCTGAAATAAATCAAAATATTAGAATGACCAAACACGATTAAAGATGGCTTATACATGAAGCACATGTTGAATTCAAGTACAAGAATGAAGCAAATGAAAGTTTGGCAAAGATGCGAGTATTTGAATGAATCCAAGACCATTTGACATTAGGAATTGAGGGTTAGGGATGGGTAAATAATTTACGAGGTTTAGTGAATTTGCACAAAAACTGGCCGCTTTATTGCTGCATGCAATGCACGAGATCAATTGATGTTATGCAATGTAACACTACTATTGAGACTACACAACTATAAAACATACCAAAAAAACAAAAAATTGTAGAGTCCAGGGTTAAGCAACAAGGGTTGAAGGATATGGAATGCAGATCCCAGCTTGAACCATGAATTAGGCAACGAAACCCATGAATTAGGCAAGAAAATCCAAGATTACCATACATTATCACAAGCAGTTTCCAGACGACGAATAAGGACCATATTTTCATAAAATGCAAGCAACTCTGAACGAGTAGCAGTTGTAGAAGTAGGCAAAGGATCGCATTTGTGGGTTTCAAAGGAAGTGTCACTGAATGAGAAAGTCACAGCTTGATCCGAGGCTGAGCTATAAGCGCAAGTTCGAGCAAGATATGACTTGGAAGCCAATGCCTTGATGGAAGCGCGGGACTTTAAATAGAATAACGACATCCCGATATGTTGCAGTTGAATAAAAATGCAATTTAGATTAAAATGACAAGACTTTACAAAGTGAGATTTGAGTCACATGAAACCACGTGATGATTGGAATACATTTAAACCAAGTTTGACAAAGAGTATCTGAAAGCGTTGTATATTCAAACATCGTATATTTGAACTACTCTTGATGAAATACATTGTTTCTGACGATCATTGTCAACAAGAAGACCTTGACACTTTAGCAACTACTACAAACTCGACAACAAAGACAAACTCGACAATTACTACAAACTCGTCAACACCCAACACAACCCATTCACAGCAGATAAACATTCTACAATCAGCCATGAGCGATTCTTTGGAACCACAAATTCCAGTCATTGCCAAAACCATTCATTCATCTTCTGTCCAGCAACACACTCGAGCAAACGTCAATTGCTTGGCGTTTCAGGGCCAAAAAGGGCCAGCATTGCCACTCGCTACATCGAATGTTCAGACTCGACTACCTATTTCCTTATTGGTTGCTCCTGCCGGTACTCCTTCGAGCACCTCTGCTCTTGTGTCCATCGATGTCTTGAATACAAAAAATAGCAGCCATTTGATTGATTCTGCTGAAAATGACTTGTCGAATGCCATTGTGTTCAACAACTGCGATCATCCTTGTATCTTTGATCATATCTATTATCGTCCTGAATTGGCTGCTTTTTCAAACAGTCTTTTAGAATCCATCTATACTACAGATGTGGCTCCACTTGTTACGGCCTTTTTACAACCACAGCTTACTACTGTCAAGTCATTGGGTCGTACTCTTCAGTCTACCGCCAATATGACTCCAGTTCCATCTTCAACTCTGATTAGTGTTTCAGTATGTAATTTCATTCAATCCATCGTTACTCTTTAATCCAGCAAGTCTTACTAACTTTGTTTATTAGAATCCACTTGTATGGTTTGATCATGTGTTTTATTGTGTCAATTCTCAACCATTGTCAGAACCATCGCCTTGTATTGCCCCGTCCAAAGCAGCCATCCAAAACAACAAGTATTTGAAGCAAGGTGGTTTCATCTCCATGTGACTTGTGTTAATCCACATTTGTTTTGCATTGTTCCACATGGTTGTCATAATTGAAAAATGTGGCTTTATTATTTTTACTGATTGGTGTGCATCTGTGTTTTAGGTATTGTTTTGCACTCCATTGATGAGATTCTGCAAAGTATCCGTGAGGCCGATCGCAAGCATGACAACAGTACTTCTACCTTGTCACTTTCTTACATTGGAGTCGTTGGCGATCGTGTCTTTGATTTGTTGGCCCCTACAGGTGCAAACATATCTCTTCCTAGAAGAAATATCGACTCGGCAAGTTCCTTGGAAATCCCTTCCATACACCAGTTGACATCTCTCTCGGAAGCTGTTAATATTTTACTTCGTGGTTTGGGCTCTCGCCAAACTCTTGTCGATCAAGCAGCTCATACACCTGATGCCATACCAGGAATTATTTTGACTCTTTCACTCACTCGACGCACCTGGAATGTCTCGACTGATTCGTACAATACATTTGCATCAAAGTTTAATTTTGTCGATTTGATAATACCCAAATCATCTGATTCCTCAAGCAAGACATCCCCCAACGTTGATTCAGCTCAAATTCAGCATCATTTGGCTTCAATCGAGCCAATCCTTGCTGCATTGGCTGCTGGACGTCCAGTTATGGATTCCGATTTTGAATCATCAAAACTTGCAATGCATCTTAAAGACAGCATTTCAAGTGAATCGTAAGTCTTGTTGGCTCTATACGCACTAGAATTTTGACATACAATCTTGATAAAATTGCCAAGCTAACATGTAATTTGATTTTATGCGCTATTGATCTTGGCAATAAATACACAACACACTGAATAGCTCCATGTGTCGACTTCTTGCCAGAATCTCTCCTAAACAGATTGACCTGTCGTCGTCTTGTGATATACTCTCTTTCTCCAATCGTATACGCCATATTCCACCTACGGTTTCTACTGAAATAATAGACGAACAAGTATTGGCAACACTATCTTGTAAAGATTTGCAACAGACTGTTATAAAACTTCAAAACGAAATCAAAACTCTTACTGATACGAGTCGCTCAAATTTGGCTGGTCCCACTTTAAGCGATCATAAATTGATTCACAACACTGCAGCCCTTTTACCTCCAGATTTAAAACATGTCAATGCATTGGTACAGTCTAAATTGGACTCTCTCCGCGTTGATTACAAGAACCTTGAGCGTCACTACAATTTTATCTCTACAGAATTAGCGCTGGCACAGCTTAATTCCTCTGCATCAGTCAATCCATCTTCAGATAAGCGGGCATTATTGGAGCACGGACAACTTGTAACAGGGCCATTTTTAGACCCTCATGTAGATTCAACAAGGGCTAGAAGTAATTCTGTTAATTCGGCCGAGTCTTACACACCATCAGGTATGGCAGGTGTTTCTGGAGGAAAACATGAAAATAATTCCATGCAAACATTGTACTCTTCAGTTGGTTCATCTAATTCCTACCTTGACGAGTTTAATCAATCGTTATTGGAAAGCACTCAAGTTAGTTCAAGCGACTCTACCAAGATTGGTTCTGCTTCCTTAAATGACTATAAGCATTCATTATCTACTGGAGACGTTAATCTTTTAACGACTGATAACCGTATTCGTATGTTGGAGGCACGGCTTTTTGAAGTGACTCGCGTTGCTCGCTACTACAGAAATCAGTTGTTTCATCATACAAATGTTCAAGACAATATCAAAGATGTCAACTCTATTGATTTGACAAAGCAGCTTCCTGTCTCAGTATACATTGAACAGCTAGAGCTTCAAAACAAAACTTTGAAAAATATCATGCAGACCCAAGAAACGCGTTTATGCCAGTTGACACAAACTGCTGATCAAAAATTGATTGATGCTCACAGAGTGCATACAACTAATGCTGGTTCATTTGAAAACACATGTACAACATCCAACACACTTTCTTTACACGAGCACACTACCAATTCCACCATACCACTCTTGAAAGTACAAAATACTCGGACTGCTCACATTGAGAAAATTGAACCCAATCTTGCTGATTCTAAAGCAGATTGTTTGACTACTGATGTCTCGACAAAAGATGCATTTACCAACACCGATGTGATTTCAGTTTCACCGCGTTCAAAATCCACTCAAAATGATTTTGCTTCTAGCCCTGTTCTTGAACTTACTCAACAAGATTTGGCATTAGCATGGCTGCAAGGCGAATCTGGTATTGCCAACTATAAAATGCACTTGTTGACGACAGACTTTTCCAAACAATTGGAAAAACGAGATACAGATCTTAGTCTGACTAATGCTGAACATGCCAATGTATTGACCAAGCTGGCTTTATCAGAGGATCATATTAAAAAACATGTCGATACGTTGACTGAAAAGCAGCAGCTTATTGACCAATTGAAGGATGATATCAAGACTCTTGAGGGCAAACACGATCCTTTTGTAAAAAAACATTTCGAGCTAGAAACTCGGTTTGCTGAACACATTTCTAAACGCAACAACGAGGTCTCCCAATATGAAGAAACTGTGCAAATTCTCTACGGAAACGTTCGTGATGCAAGAGTTCAAATTCAATCACTTGCACATCAAAATAGCTTACTTCAGCAGAAGCTAGAGTCATCTGCTAAAAGTCTATCAAGTGCCATTAGTCCTACTGACTCGGCTCTTAACACACCCCATGAATCAGTTGCCACTGTTGATACTCGTACTTTAGATTTCGAGACAGAGCATAAAGCACTACAGCCACAACCCCCCAAATCCTCACAAAATGCCAAAACAGATGAAGCATTGATTCTCAAAATCAAATATCTTCAACGCCTTTTGCAGTCCAACGTGTCCAATCTTGAAGCTACCAAAGCTGATCATGCAGCTCTGGTAGCTGAATTACGCGCTCAACTCGATAACCTCACACAATCCAACAACACTCTAGGCACTGAATATGCCAACAGTTTGCAACGATATGCCGACTTTTTGGAAAAACACAAGCATTTAGAAAGCGAATATGAATTATTACAGAAAAAGCACGACCATCTTACATATGTTTCTTCAGAGTCAAGTGCTCAATCTCAGGCAGAAATTGTACAGTTGAAATTAAAATTAGATCGTATGGCCGTTGTGTCGCCTACACTTACTTCTGAACGAGCTATTGCTCCTGTATACTTTAACTTGCCACCGGCTGGACGCTCTATATCTCCTACTTCTCGACCCATTTCTCCTGATCCTACCAGTGCTGCTTCTTTTGTATCTGTATCGGGTCGAGCATCAAATCGGGAGTTGATGAGACTATTGAATCAGCTAAGCATTAAATGCCAGCAGATTGATTCTCAGGGTATTGCTCGTCTTGCATGGCTTGCTGGTGAACTTGGTATTGTGTCTTGGAAGCTTCATGAAGAACAAGAAATTAGTGCAGAGTTGCGTCGTATTGTTGACTCTGCTAGTCAGCGGGAGCAAAGATTTGTCACAATCATTGAGCAACTTCAAGATCAATTAACGGCTCCAGCTGATAAAGAATTGGATCAGGACGAGTCTGAGCTTACTGTAAATGATTTGCGATCTAAATTAGCATATGCTGAAGCGACTCAACGTGCGCTTTCTCGTACTGTAGAGTATTATAAAATGGCCTATCAACATCGAGACTCGGATAGTTCATTGGAAGAGCTTGAAAAAAGCAGAACTGTATCGGTAAATAATACACCTATCTTACTTGATACGCCTTCTATTCAATCTAAAGCACAAAAGTCGACACCTGGCTCAATCTCTGACCATTCTCGCGATTCTTTGGTAAAGTCGCATGCTCCCTTGAAAACCAATGATGGTCTGGTATCAAGCATGGTAAATATACATTTATAAATTATATATTTTGCTCTACATGCAAAATGCTATATCCCAGTCTTTTTTAACATTTGTTATACTCTAGAAATCATTGGGTGAGCATGAAAATCAGTCTTTGGATAGTGT